CCTGATGCATAAGCTGCTAATCTCCCATGGGTGCATTGCGGGTGGTTGATACTGTATTTCACCAGGACTGGCCACTGTAACCATCACGCCTGGGCAAAGGGTCTTAGCCATTTCATGTGAGTGGTAGGATGGGGACCTGTTTGGAATAGGGCTTGTTGGTACCTGGCTCACACCAGATGAATGTGTGTAGCCCTCAGAATGAGATCTACTTCACACACCTCTGGACCTGCTGCACTAGAAACCATTCAGAAACAAATGGGAAATATGGCTGCCATTAACTACTGCTCGCCAACCAAATTAACCTGGACAGACTCAGGATAAAGGATGCACACATATGTTTATTGAGGGATGTTTGCAAGGATATTGTTGCTGTGTGATGTATGTAATGGTACTTCCTGATTTAATGCATTTTGCAAAATGGAATGTGGGATATGTTTAGACAGAATAATGCATATTGCAATAATTGCACGCAGAGGCAAATGAATGAAGATTGTGTGACCCTCCAGGGCAACCCCCCAGAGTTTATACCCCGGTGGCGGTGATGGGGAGGAGGTGGGTTGCTGCACATTTTGCAGTTTCAGATTTATTTCTGAGCAATATTTGATATAGTCAACCACAAACAAACCAAGCTCATTGCTCTCAAATAATTTGTTGTTATTTGACTTCAATGAGAGTGCCATAAATTGATGGTGCAGTAAGGCAAGGCAAGGCAAGTTTATTTATATAGCACAATTCATACACAAGGCAATTCAAAGTGCTGAACAAAACAAGCAAGCATTAAAATCATAAATAATCACAGCACATTAAAAATAAAGCTAAAAATATAATGCACAGCTAAACAGAACTGTCTTCACCCTGGTTTTAAACATTGTCATTGAGGAGGCCTGTCTCACATCTTCAGGAAGACTGTTCCAGATTTTAGCAGCATGAATCTGAAAAGCAGCCTCCCCATGTTTAGATCTGACTCTGGGCACTAACAGGAGTCCAGTCCCTGTGCTCCTCAGAGTCCGGGCTGGTTCATATGGGACTAACATGTCACTAATATATTTTGGTGCGAGGCCATGGAGAGACTTGTACACAAGCAGAGCTGTTTTAAAGTCTATTCTCTGAGCCACAGGAAGCCAGTGCAGAGACCTGAGGACTGGACTAATGTGGTCGTACTTCCTGGTTCTAGTCAGGACTCGAGCTGCTGCATTTTGAATGTACTGCAGCTGTTTTACAGCCTGTTTGGACAGACCTGTGAGCAGGCCATTGCAGTAGTCTAACCTACTGGAGACAAATGCATGGATAAGAATCTCCAAGTCTGCTTTAGACACTATGTTTTTGATCCTGGCAATGTTTTTTAGATGGTAAAAAGCTGCTGATGTTACTGATTTAATGTGGCTATTAAAATTTAAGTCTGAGTCCAGTATTACCCCTAGATTTCTGACCTTGTTTGAAGGTTTTAGGGAGAGAGACTGTAGGTGACAGATGACGCTCTCTCTTTGTTTCTGGGGACCAAAGACAATCATTTCAGTTTTGTCTGCGTTTAGCTGAAGGAAGTTGTTTTGCATCCACTCACTGATCTGTTGGATACAGTGAAGGAGTGAGTCCACTGGTCCATGTTCTCCTGCAGTCAGTGAGACATAGATCTGAGTGTCGTCTGCATAGTCATGATAGGAAACTTTGTTTCTGCGTATTAACTGACCTAACGGCAGCATGTAGAGATTGAAAAGAAGAGGTCCCAGGATCGACCCCTGTGGTACTCCACAGGTCAGGGCCATATGATCTGAGACACAGTTTCCAATCTTCACAAAGTACTTCCTGTCTTCAAGGTAAGACCCAAACCAACTTAGGGCGGTGCCAGCAACGCCAACCCAGTCCTCTGATCTCTGTAAGAGGATCTCATGGTCGACAGTGTCAAAGGCAGCACTCAGATCTAACAGGATTAGGATTGAGACTTTGCCTGCGTCAGTGTTCAGCCGGATATCGTTTGTTACCTTGACGAGAGCAGTCTCAGTGCTGTGGTGGGCTCTAAAGCCGGACTGAAACATATCAAATGAGTTGTTGATTATAAGAAATCTAGTAAGCTGTTGGTAGACAACTTTCTCAAGGACTTTCCCCATAAATGGCAGATTTGAGATGGGACGATAGTTGTTAAGTACCGTAGCATCCAGACTGCTCTTTTTTAGCAGGGGCCTGATGACTGCAGTTTTCAGGGCCTTTGGGAATATTCCAGAATGAAGGGACATGTTTACTATCTGTGTGAGTGAAGGTAACAGACTGCTCAGAACAGACTTCAGAAATCTAGTGGGTAGTACATCCAGGCTGCATGTGGAGGAGCTCAAACTGGAGTACTTTTCACAGGGTATATATGTTTTTGTTGTCCTGTGTACTTGTATGCGTGTTTTATATTTTGTCTTTTCTAAATAATTAAGTTAATTTTAAGAAACAAAACTATTGTGTCAACTAATTGAAATTGAAAAAGGAACCATCCAGTGTCAATACGTGTGTTTTGTTCCGGAAAAGCTACTTTCAAAGCCTTTTCCCAGTGCAGCACAAAGTTGAAGTTGACTTATCATTCATACACTGACTCACATTTTCAGAATCAGAATCAGAATCATTTTTATTGCCACATAAGTAACAGGAGGTCACACTAGGAAATTGCTTTGTCTCAGTGCAACAGTCAAAAAGAGATAATAAAAATAAGAATAAAAAACTTCTAAAGAATACATTTAAATTTAAAATAGAGTTACAGTTACTATTTACAATATACAAGTGCACATGGTGCACACAATGTAAGGTGACAGCAGTACAGTGAAGTAAAGTGACGTATGATGGGCATTCTGGCTTTCTTGAGGAAATATCTTCAATAAAGCAATTTCCAGTCCTTTTTTTGGATCACACGCAGCATCGAGACAACTGATTAGTGAAGCGACTGCAGTGTCCCCCTCGGAGCCCTCGGGTCTCTCTGTGATGCTCCCTGCTGAGGCGTATGTTCAAAGTCAAATGCCTCTGATGTTTGTTCCAGTGGTGTTTTCACCTGGCCTCTGAAGTCCCTTCTTACAACAGAGAAAAAGTGTCCATTAAAAGATAGAAGAACTAGTTATGGGTGGCACTACACGGGAGGCTGCCTGAGTCGTCGAGCGAAAGATCCAAAATCACTCATTAGATGTTCAAAGATGGAGTGGCATTGTGAATTATGAGGGCTAACTGCCAGATTGGAAAGAGATAAATCAGCAATCTACCCCAAAAAATTGCTTCTAAAATATTTAGTTGGTAAGAGATAAATAAGCTGTCAGCCATCTTTGAAGTTAATCCTCATTCATCACATCAAAATGATTTGGTAATGATGTGTTTACAGAGGGTGGAGAGGCTCGACTGAAAGAATTTCCCTGTCTCACTTTCTTCCCCACGCTAAATAACACACTAACCAAATTTGGCAGAATTTGACGACAGAGAAAAATAAATAACTAATGTATTATTCTAACCCTGTTTATGCATTTCTCAGCATGATACTTCATTTAGCCTAAAAATGTACGTACATTTGAACGTTTTTGGGAAAAAAAACCACATTTTGTTCAGTTGCTGGCCTTGTCCGAAGACATGCCATAGAACTATAAGGTCACAGAAAGAACCATATTCACAGCATCCTGGCATAAGTGGAGATGGCCAAAACATTTCTCAGTAGAACCAAAAGTTGTGTAAATTTGTATTTAATTTTCTGCATTTTTTCTGACAGTTAGTTAATTGAGACATATTCTGCATATTTTACTTTTCTGAGCTTTGTTATAGTGTTGTTCCCTCTACAAAAACAGAGCTTTGGATTTCGCATGGATTTATGTTTTCTATTTAACGTCTGGCTCAAACGATTAACTCCACCTCCTCTGTCTTCTTCTGTCTCAAGTGTGTATAATCATAGGATGTCATTGTCACCCCATCACACGCTCAGAGCAATTTTCTGCCTTTTAGCAAAAGCTTTGTCCCCCCAAATTTTTTTATGTTTACCCATGATTTATCTGTCCCCCTGTACTTTCTACCTAGTATACTACTTTATTGTCTAAAACCTAAAAATTTTAGCCAAAAAAATTTTTTTAGGTTTTAGAATTTGTTCAGCACAATTCTTACACAAGGCAACTCAAACTGGTGAACAAATCAAGAGATTTGATTAATAATCACAGTACATTAAAATGTTGTTTTTTTAAAATCTGTACTCAAATCTTTAGGGGGGAAAACAAGTCAGAAGAGGTAAAGCAATTTGATCTGCAATCTTGATTCCGCTTGTGCCTAGACACTCAAAAGTTGATGTTCCCAGAAGATAAGTGAATACTTATACAGACTTGCATTTGCTCAAAAGCTTCCATTTAAAGAAAGGCAACACCATTTGAACTCCCTCTACTTCCAGGGTGCACTGGCAGATAATAATTGGAGATTAAGAGGAGGTTTCTAAACGGTCTTAAGATACATTTTATTTAGATAATTTACAACAGAAATGTCAAAAAAATGTCTTCTCTATTAACAAACTTGTCAAAACTACTCATCAAGTGCAACCTTCCTGTGTATACGTGCTCAGAAAGGAGTTGACCCGGGCTCGTGACAAGGCATCTAGTCATTGAAGGGAGAATAGACTTCGCTTGGACGTGCGAAGACCGCTCTGCTGGTAATAAGTGCAACGGTTGAAACAGAAAGAAACATCAGCTATTTGCCATTGTAGCCTGAAAAGTTTAAAATACCTCTAATTAGCGCTGCGCTTGGGTTTACAGGGCAGCGAGAGGTAACAGCTCTACACACCCATCGCCCTATGCCCACAGAGGATCTCATGGGATTGGCACGACTGCTTAATAAGTGCTAAAAGGAACTGGCCTCTATATAAAGCAGCTCTAGAGAGTCCGCTTTGCACATCTCTCAACCACTCTGCTTTATAATTGCTAAGTTGAACAAGATCCAAAAGTTGGAAGTGTTTAATCACAAGCTTCTTCTCTCAAGTTTCAACCAAGTCTGTTTTTCACCTTTCTTTCAACATGAACGACCAGGTCAAGGGCCGACAGTCCAGTAGCGAGCACGGCACAGCTGGTCCCTGGTACCCACTGAGGAAATGGTGGATCGAGCCAAGCCGATGTTTCAATCAAGATTCTGGACTGCTGCCACTGCTGGATTTGGGTGGCCCCCGGAGAACGGACTGGCTGGAGAGGAGTCTGTGGCCCCATGACTGGCTGTGGTACAGTCCCGGTCCCCTGTTTGTGCCTCACATCTCTGGGTCCATGCGTCAGGCCGGCCCCAGCTCCCCCAGTTCTGATGCGGAGCGGTTCATGTGGAGAGTCTGCCTGGATCTGTCGCACTTCTCGCCTTCAGAGATAACGCTGAGTGTCAAGGATGGGCTTCTTCAAGTGCAAGGTGTGTAGAAGTGGTGTAGATAATGCTAAGTTAGGTTTAGATCAAATATGAAACACATCTACCCTGATACAATTTATAAATGGTTCCCCAACCTGTATTCATTTGATTTATGACCTTTTACAGTAACTGGTAGTTGTGTATTGAGCACAGCATTGATATTGAAGCATTTACACCTACTTCTGTTGTACACAATTTGATCTCACTCTATGATTCCCTCAACTAAATATCATACATTCATTCATTATCTTAACTAAATTAGTGAAGTAATAATTCCTGGTTGTATTGGAGGCCCCTTTACGTTTCATGATCGTTGTAGTGTATTATGATACTGCGGGTCATATGGTCAATAATATGTATTAATCAACAAATTAATTACAACTGAAATCGCAAACATCACCTTTAAGTAGTAAAATGTTTGGTCACCCCTGCCTTAGGGCTATGCTTTCCAATCAGACCTGGAACCTTGGACTTGGATCTTTATATTAAAATAAAACAAAAAATATGGATGATTTGAGTAATACGTCATAATAATTCTTCAATTCTGTGTTTGTTTTTCTTCACCCCATATATATATATCAATGTGCAGGTTCACAGTGTATGTTTTGGGAAAATTAAATAAATAGATAATACAAATGTTATGGTATTATGTTCTACACCATGCCACTGTTGTAGTTAGAACCTTTTATGATTTGCTGCTTTGTCAGTTCAACCAAAAGGCCATACTTACACGCAAACGCCAGATCCCATTAGACCTCTGATGCTGTGCAGGGCAGGGCTTGGTTAGTACCGTGATGGGAGACCTCTGGGAAAACCAGGTGCCACAGTGGGACAGCTGTGGCTATAAAGTGTGAAACTGTTGCTATGTCCTTAGGCAAGACACTTCACCCACATTGCCTAGAATGAGTCTGGTCTGTGTGTGTGTGTGTATGTGAATGTTTGGTGTTGGTTGCAGGGGTCAATGGCACATACTGGTTGCCTCACTTATCTCAGTGCGCCCCAGGGCAGCTGTGGCTACTGTAGTAGTTTATCACCACTGTTTATAAAGTGAATGAATAATGACATGTGAAGCGTCTTAGAGTGTCTCAAAAAGCGCTATATAAAACTGATTATTCATTATTATTATTAAAAGAGCCTCAGACCTGGAGGATAAAAGGGACTAGTGCTACTGTGTAACTGAATGAATCTTTGACATGGACCTGGTGACATTCTAGTCTCTGGTCTGATAGTTGCAAACATCAGTCTTAATGCATTTCATGTTTCTCAAAGTCTATGATTATATTCACTGTTTTTGATAAATGCCAAATGTTTTGAGAATGACAGGTTTAGAATGTTGTTTTTGCAGTCCATAATCTTTCCAAAGTGAAATTAACACTGCAAAAAACTCCAATGAACCAAGTTTGTGCCCACCTTCAGCTGCGCAACGTTCAGACTCATAACATTTGCTGAAGAAACAGTTATGCAAACAGTGTTCTCTCAATCCATAAAATGACTCCCTAAAACTCCAATGAATAAAAAGTTATTGTATCCACATTAGAAAGCTGCTTAAATAATGTGCTGAGGGAAATTAAAAATCACTGCTGTGTGGCTGAATTTAATTATTGCGTTGAGCGCTTTGGTTTTGTTGCGTCTCACATAAACTATAATCCGTCCCCAGGGAGACACGAGGAGCGGCCGGACCAGCACGGCTTTGTGGCCAGATGTTTCACACGGAAATACAGGTAGAGAATGCTGGGAATTCAACATGTGACATCAACATACATAAAAAAAAACATCCCATAATCAAAATGCCAGTTAAATACATAACTGTTTGGAATTAAACCTGACTTTGCAAGTGTACTGTATATTCAGTGGCATGAAAAAGTTTGGGCACATTTTTCTCTATAAATCATTGTTTTTTAAAAAATAAGAAATCTCAATTAAATATATCATATAGGAGATAAACACGGTGATATTTGAAAAGTGAAATGAAGTTTGTATTTAAAACCAAATTATGCATGTTCTCAAATGTCGGTATTCTTTACATTTTTGTTTTGTTTAAATACTCAATAGCATAATCATTGGAACCAAACGTTCTATACTATACTGTACTATAGGCTACACAACACAGGGTATAGGATATAAATAAATGAAAATAATAAATGCCATTCTTCATAATCTGAGCATAGTCGACAAAGCTTTTAACCTATAGACAAAGTATTCATCTCTTTGAATCCAATCAAACTGTGATAAATATGTCTGTGACTTAACCACACAATGGGGAAAAATGTACTGTAAAAGCCACGCACTCCCGCTGACTGTGTAATTAAATGTGTCACATTCTGAATTTCCGTGGCCAACACTTTATTTTTAGTAACTTGGATGACACCTTTCAATCGCAGACTTCCAGCTGAGATGGATGCCTGCAGCCTGGTGTCTTGGTTTTCTGTGGATGGGATCCTGACTGTGGAGGCCCCTGTGGCTGAGCCCTCTGTTCCTGCCTCCGTCATTATACCTATAAAGGTGATCGTCATCAGCATTCACTACTTTATACTTCACTACATGTTTTTTTTAGACAACAAGATTGACCAAAGAAATGGCCTTGCCTTCTACAAACGTATACATGAACGCTAAGATGTCTTATTGGCAAATGCTAACATCACAAGATCATTTTCTAGATCATTTAAAGTCTATACTAATTTACTCTTTAACTTTCACTGCTTGAACAAAGCAATGTATGTATTCTTTTGATTTTCTAATATGTTGGAGCACTAATAACACATCATTTTTAAACCCTTATTATTTAAAGTTATAAATGGTTGAGATGCAGTTTGATGGTTAAAGTGCCTAAAACCAAGTGAAATGCCCCAAAGAGGAAGATTTCAGTTCCAAGCTACTCAAAAGGTGAACTTCCAAATGCTTGAGGAAACAATTTGAGGTTTAAAAATGCATTTCTCATACTTTGTTTGATTCATATTTTTACACTAACCCAAAAGCCTGGATTACATGTATTTGAGTATTTCAGACAATTACTTATATTATGACCACAGAATATGGACAGAAAAGGGTCTAAAAAGTGACTGCATTAATATATCCGATATGGCACAGAAATTACACATTTCTGTTTGGGTGTGTAACATTTTGGAGTTGTAAAATCTGGAACTGACACAGGCTTCGAATCCAGCAGTTCTGTTTAGCTGTGCATACAACTGAAAGATTGTATCTTTTTTAATGTACTGTGAATGATTGTGTATGAATCTTTCTATTGCGGTTTGTAAAGCATGTGTGCATAAACTGTGCTATTCAAATAAGCTTGCCTTGCCTTATCTTTGGCAGGTGGAAGCGGCTTCAGCAGAGGATCAGAAAGAGATGGAAGATCAGGAGGAGTCTAAAGCTGCAGAAGCTCATGTAGACAGCTCTGCGAATGGAGGAGTGCAGGAAGGAGACGAGAGAGACGAGAGAGAGGAGAGAGAGGAGAGAGAGGAGAGACCAGAAGTGTCCAGAGACCAGGAGGGTACAGAGCCAGAGGAGATCCCCACATCCGGAGGGGAGCACGATGCATGCAAGGGCTGTGAAATAAGCCAAGAAATTATATAAAGAATCTAAATACCATACTAAAGCCCCTTCCCCAAATCAGCCGTCCTGTAATCATCCCTGTGTGTGTGTGAACAGAATTTAGCCAGAACGGATTCAGGCATTTTTGGTAACACAATTGATTTTCATATTTTTTACTTTAATTCTTGGGATATCACCTCCTCTAGAAATAAATGCACTCATCGGGAATCAGCTTGAAGAGATATGTTGAAGAAAAAAAAGAAAGAAAAATGATAGGGGTAGATGTCATTCAATTAAAATAAAACTTTTTTTCTGACATTATCAACATTAATTGAAAACATTTTGTATTTGCATCAGTCAAATAGTAATGTTTGTGTTGCATTGCAGTTATTGCCCAGTTTACTCTAAAGCAATCTCATGATATGTGTGTTTTACTATCGAAATAATAAGTCCAACCATTTTCAAGTTTCAAGTTTATTTTTGGTCACATACACATTATAGGAAAATCCTTATTTTCTTGTGTTTATGTGAATGGGCTCACTTTTGGTTTTCTGGTGTTTTGTTGCCAACACTTGAATGTGACCTTTATGTGAAGAGGGCTAAAATGACCTGAATCAGCTTGCTTTATTTTGAATCTGTTTTACAATCAAGCAATTGTAAGCAAAAAAGTGATTTTAGTTGGAATAAAACTACTGCATTTACAAAACGCCAGATTTGTATTTTGTAATTTGCAAAAACTGACTCTAACCAAAAATGGAAAGGTTTTTTGTTGAGAATGTGCACTGAGTTTCTTTCAGAATAAGAATAGTAACCAAAATGATTCCATTAAATACAACTTGAGAAACTAGAAACTTTTAAATTGATACAAATATAATCTGCACTCTACATTTGTAAACATCAGTCTAAGTAAAAGTCAGTTGTGAAATCGCTCGAGGCAATTGTGCCGGAGTCTGTATTTAATGAACGTCAGAAAAATTCTTGTTGACTTTGAAATCATTCGGAGCTACAAACGTCAGTCTATTTTGGATGACGGGTCCAGACTTAAGTTATCATTATGCATTAAAAACGTTTGCATGAATATAACTCGCCTCAGGACTGCCTGGCGTTACTCCAACATTCCTGTTCCCATGACAACCCCATTCGAGCATATCATCCCATAGTAATAAATACATCTATTTACTCCAAGCATCAAAAGGAAGCCGCTGCACAAAAAATATAGTTTTTTTTAAATTGTTGCAAATCTTCTTGGACATTCAGAACGATGCCTCTGCCTCCACAAGCCGGAATACATGTACATGAGGCTATTTTGCATCGCACGACCTGCAACGAAAGGGGACCAATTTATATTCAATCTTTCGGAGCATATTGGCGGTTCAGGCTTCCATGGGTTTGCTCCATTCAGCACGCTCTCTAAGCCCTGAGCTAATCTGCTGCCCAGTCGCTGCTGTTAAAGCCCACAATGAGACCGCAGTGACCACAGAACCTGGCACCAGGCCCAAGTGTGCCATGGCCCTCACTCAAGCAGAGAGAGACGAGCTTGTTTCTACAGAAGCAGCTGAATGAAGGCATCAGCATGGAAGAAAGCAGAATATATCATGTGTAAATCAGGGCCCCTCAGTCATGGAGCTGTGGATTTAAGATCAACACTTAAAATCATATTGTGTTGTTTTGTTGTTTTTACAGATGAAAGTCTGAGGACAATATCATTCAAAAGTCAATTTTCTTCTGTAATTCAACTCACAATGTGAAACTAATGCATAACAGACTCATCTTATTCATTTCATTCATTTTCAACCACTTTATTAGTCCATTTCTGGGTCGGGGGGGTGGCAATGAAAGCTGCCACCCAATGCTCAAAGCACCGGTCCCTCGCTGATCCTCTGCAGGTTGTGAGTCCACAGGAAGATGGCTGATACATTTGTAGTATCATTGGTGTTTCAGTGGGAGCTTCAGGCAATGTGGGGTTTAGTATCTTGCCCAAGGACACAACGGCGGCAGACATTAGTCAGAGCAGTTGGAATAGGTTCCGTGGTGGGTTTGAAAAGGCCAAGGCTCTACCAACTGAGCTATTGTTACCCCCAGACTCATTATAGACAAAGTGAGATATATCATTGTTAATAATTGGCTCACAGCTTGTGAAAAAACCCCATATTAGAAAATTAGAATATCAAAATAATGAAGAGTGAGCCAGACTAATACCAAAATGATAACAAACAGAAGCCAGGCATTTGTCACTGTGCACTTTGCAGAGAGCATTGCAATACTGTCTTGGTGGAAAAATGGTTGGTAGATCACATTCAAGGAGTAATGACTGAATGATTGGTGGTGTTGTGCTAACCACTCCACCACGATCTCCTGCACAGACGTGGCCCGTGACTCCATGACTTCGACATCACCTCACTGCGAGCTGGAGTCAGACTCACAGTTTAGTTCAGTGTTTTTCGACCAGTGTACCGCGGAACGTTAGCGGAACGTTATATTTTTCATGTGTTTTAACTGTTGATTCTCTAATCTGTGTTGGTGATTTCAATGGTTTTGTTAAGTCCTCTGAGATGACTTCTGTTGTGACCTAGGGCTATACAAGAATAAATTGTATTGTATTGTAGTGTGCCTTGAGATGTTATTCGGCGTGCCATGTAAAATTATCTAAGATCACCTACTTGGTCAAAATAATGTGGAAAGAAAATAATTACAAGATTAGAAATACTTCTTTGCACCTTTCTGATTTTCTATAGAATACACTTTGATGAGAACTACTTGGTTTTGTTAAGAAAGGCAGCAGAGAAACCTCAGTTTGTATCAGTTTCAGCTGGTAGTGTGCCATGTAAGTAAGTAAGTAATGTTTATTTATATACCACCTTTCACAGACAAGGGTCACAAAGCGGTTTACATTTTTTGTTTTTTTTTTTTTTGGGCAATTGTCCTCTCACTCCAGACAGAGATGGGAGCGGGGTCGCCGAACAGGAGGCGCAGGCCAGATCTATTGTACATATTTTTAGTGGTAGGGGAAACCGGAGCACCCGGAGGAAACCTACACAGACACAGGGAGAACATGCAAACTCCACTCAGAAAGGCCCTGGTCCGATCGGGATTCGAACCCAGGACCTTCTTGCTGAGAGGCGAGAGTGCCGCCTTTTTGATTGCTTTCAATAAAAATGGTGTGTCACGGCTCAAAGAGGTTGGGAAACACTGGTTTATTTAAATGTGTCCTTCTACCTCACACATGTGCAGTTTTTTTTCTGATTAAACCCACATGTTGACATTTCGCATTTTTGATGAGGGCAATGTCACGATTTGAGACTTTTCATTCATAAAGGTGATTTTCATTGCATCAAACAGGTATATAACATCAGACTGGAGCAGACCTAGCAAAAATAACCTTTTCTATAATTTAGACCAAAAACACCCTTCCCTGACTCCAGATCAGTCCTTTTCCCCTGTGGAGTCACTGTGGAGAAAAAAAATATGTTTTGCTTTTGTTGCAAAAAACTGCTTCTCAAAGGGAAAAAAACTTGTTCTATCTTAGTTTTCATATTTCTTTGGCTTCTGTCCAATCTTTGGGGTGACAGTGGCTCAGTTGGTAGAGCATTGGCCGTTGGGCCCAAAGGTCGTTGGTTCGACCCCCAAAACACAAGACCTTCTCCATCAACTCCCACTGATGTCTGCTGTCGTTGTGTCCTTCGGCAAGACACTTAACCCACTTTGCCTATAAGGAGTGCGGAAGTGATGTTTGCTACTTGCCTTGATGTGTATGTGTATATATTTATGTGTATGCATCAAACAGAAATGTCCCCATTGTGGAACGAATAAAGGACCTTCTTCTTCTGAAAAAATCTTATTTTATTTCAGTCAGAAAATGGAAAAAGAGCTCTCAGTCCAAGCCATCAGAAAGTGACTCAAAGGACTCTGTCGCACAAGTATGTAAAGAATAACTGGTTTTGTGCTACATTATTCTCTCTCTCTCTTTCTGTTTGGACAAACACGTGTTCTACAAACAGGGAAAAAGAAGTTAGGTATTCCGGCTTTGAAGAGTATTGAAAACATATCATCTCACCCAAAGTTTTAAAATCTCTTTTATTGTGTTTATACATCTTTATCAGTGTACATACAATTCAGTATAAATGTAAAGAAGGAAAAAAAAATCACTTAATCTCAGCGACAATTGTAACTCAAACGCTTATAATTGAAACAGTGGAGGAAATTGTTCCACAAAGTTTTAACACGATTGTTTTTCTATCACAAAAAGTCACCCATTTACAGTATGCCTCATGTGGGGAACAAAAAATCATTAGCCTCAGGAAATATGTTTTGTAAGAATAAACACACAAGGCTTCTAATCATAAACACATTCAATCAGTGGTTTCCTAAAAAAAAAAAAAAAAATGCAGCACTGGAGCAAAACAAATTCAATCGGTTTCAAAGTAATAACGATCTTGCGCTTGTTGCCATCGATGAACGATTACAAACAGGAATAAACAACACTCGAATGGGCAAAAACACATGAACATAGATGATATTCTACGTGCTATTGTGAGGATCTTCTGCTATTCCAAAGTTATAATCTGTCTTTTGAATTATTGCTCATTACTCTGAAACCCTGATAAGAGGCTGAATCCAATTTGGTGCGGATGAATGTTATCAAAAAAAAAAAAAACAGGAAAAAGTTGCATGTAAGACAAAACTTCACACTGTAAATCTGAGTTTCTCTCTGACTATGTATTGCACTTCACAAAACTATAGTGTGTGTGAGCAGTTTGGATAGCACAATCAAAAATGGCTAATTTAGTGGCTGCAATTAGCGATCACAAAGACTTCATTTATTACGATGAAATTATCGTAAACAGAACATGATCTTGTTGAATAATAAATAATTCGGGCCAACCTTGTGTTTAGATTTCTGAAATGGGCAAAGAAATACAAAGATCACTGCTAATGTAAAAAAAATCCAGCTTTTTTGGAATTACTTTATCATTTGTATTTCTTGTGAATGATTGATTGATTGAAAACTTTATTTTGAGCCAAACAAAATGATTACTGTACATTATGCACAATACAGAAAGAGGTTCAGGGAGGATCTGTACAACATATTTATTTTGGCTCAACAATATATGTTGCAAAAATGTCGTATATTGTTGTGATCATGTTGTAAAGTGATGTTTAGAAATGTACTTGTAAATAAAAGGCATTATAATTATTAATATTATTAGAGTAAGTTGTTATACTTTACTGTCCCGTAGGAAAATTGGTTCTCTGCATTTGACCCATGCTTCATTGCCACTAGGGCCTCTGTCAGGAGCTATGGTCGCCGTTGCACAGAACCCAGGGGCCCATCTCCAGATCATGATGCTCTGATTGGGCTGTATTAGAGCTGGAGGATTTTAGTGTTAGGGGAAACTGGAGTACCCGGAGGAAACCTATACAGAAAGGCCCTTTTCTGACCAGGATTGAACTCACTCGACCTTCTTTCTGATAAGCTCTCTTTTAAATATGAGTCTATTTAAGGTAGTATCCACCCTAATGAGTTCCTCCTTGTGATTTTGACTGTTTTATCTACTCAGGGAAGAGGCAAGTCCAGTCTTATCCGACTGAGTATTTAACCCTTTGGATTTAGATCAAAAACTGTATTTGAAACAAACTAAAGCTGGAGCCGTACAACTGTATAAGAGATAACGGAATACTAAAATCTATAGCATAAATAAAAAAATGAAAAAAGTAATACAAATTTACGTTTGCCTCACGTTAAAAATCTGCTGGAACTCTAGTGCTGTGGACTATCGCCTGAAAAAACTGAACTCTGATACAGAACTGGACAAAACATGGACAACAATCTCTCAAGGATAAAGCCATTTCATATTTCTGTTGCTGCATCTTGAAATTACATTTTTTGTCGCCTTAAAACCCCCTTGAACTCAGTACTCTTTCTAAAAACTACAATAAACAGCAGGTCAATTGTGCCAAAACGTTCAATACAAAATTGAAAAGGTGTTGTGTGCGTCACTTTATAATATCATACCTCTGGTCACTTATCCATGCTCTGTACTGTTACTTCTATATTGTGTGTTCAAAGTTTAGTAACATTTTAATGCATGTCTAAAAATTACTTAATAACTTATTTGAACCATATTCCTAAGTAAATTCCTAGACTGTGACTTCCTCCTACAATGACAAAAAAAAAAAAAGGATTCAGATTACTACGCACAACACTTTTTTGATCTTTGACACAGGTAAAAAAAAAAAAAAAGTTTCAGTTTCCCTCAGACTTGAATTGTGCACTTTGAACATGAAACTAGCCTCACAACAGAAATCATAAAATGAATCATAATCACAAAGGTTATCTGTAGAAATTAGATATTTCTTTTAAACCGTGCAGCCCGAGTTGACATGGGCGCAGACTGTGGTTGTGGTTAGAGCATGGGGGCCTCTGTTGGTGGGAGGGCCTCAGGGTGCTCTGTGTGGTCGGGCAGGAGGTCGTCGTTGCTGAACAGGTGATAGGGAGGTGTCTGTCGCGCCTCGATGATGAGCACGCCCTCTGGAGACAGGGAGGCAAACACCGTCACTGGGTCCACGTCTATGGGGATCCTGCACAAAAACAAAAGGAGAACACATTTTTAGAGATGTGATACGTGGTAGCCAATTCAGGTGCCAATTCAGGTGCCAATTCAGGTGCCACTGCCAGCTGGTTCAGGTACCCTTTCCGCAATATGGGTAAAGCCAGTATCCTCATTGCACTTTTCAATATGTAAAAATATGTAAAAGAAAGAAATTCTTAATCAGTTAGATAGGAGAAAAGAACGCTATTTTCAGTCCCTTCACAATACTATGAAAGGACTATACTAAATAACTACATTTTAGCATGTATTTGAAATATGTTTATGGGGTTAGGGAGTCGACAAGTTTTTACTTCTTTCCCAATCCATTTCAAGCTGATAAATTGTAAATAGAAATGCATTTGTAAATACATATTGAATAGCAACACATGGTGAAACTAGAGCAAATACTGTTGCTTGATTGTATATTTATGTTTATATTATTTGCAGGCGTAAGTATATACTATAAGCATAGTAGGGTGTCATGGTTGTCACTTTTGGTTCCTGTTTTATTTTGTAATTCTGTTCCCCTGTGTCTTTTTAAGAGTTTTACTTCCTGTTCTGTTGATTGCCTACCCTGCCCTGATTTGTTTCACTTGTGTCTTTCAGTTAAATTCCCTGTGCTCTTTCGCTCTTGTTGTCAGTCCATTGATTGTTTGTTCTTGGTTCGTCTTCAGTTCCTGTGTTTATACAGTTTTTGATTTTTGGATTCTTGGTTATTAAATCATGTTTTTTGCAGTATTGAATTTTGGGTCCGTCCTCCTATCCACCATGTAACAGTAGGCAACATGTACAAAAAGTCATGTAAATTAAGGAATGCAAATATTTTAAACACTTGTAAAATGTCTGCTCAATAGTATTGGCTCATGCCGGTCATTGCCCTCTGTCAGGAGCAATGGTCACTGGAGTACAGCACCCATCTCCAGGCTTGGTCAGGACGTCGAGAGCTGTATTTTGTAGTAGAGGAAATCAGAGCACCAGGAGGAAACCTACACAGACACAGGGAGAACGTGCAAACTACACTCAGAACACCCTGGACCGACTGGGATTCAAACCCTGGCCTTTGAAGTTTGCACATTTGTTTTTTACACTAGCTCTTGGGGGGGTAATACTTAGAGATATATTTTTTGCTCCATATCGTCCAGGCACTTTTTCTTATGAAGTAACTCTATCATGAATATTACCTAAAGACAATGGGACTGTGCCTGACAACAGTCAAAACTCACTATTCTGAAAATGATTATTCTATACATGCTTACCATTACTCTAACTTTCACAAGATGCTGTCTCATGGGAATAGCCAGAGATAACATACCACACATGCAGAGATAACATGCGTGACAGGAAGACCACACAGACCACCAGTGAAGGGGCGAGGACTGGGATCACGTCTACCATTTACTGATAACAAAAAAGGAGTCAAATACCTAAAACTTAACAATATATAAAAAAAGTGGCAGTTTTAAGCAGTAGAGTAGACTATTAGGTATCAGCTGAGATATATTTTACCCTCATGAACTCAGTCCTCGGAGAAAGCAGACTGAGGATTTAAGAAAGTTTGCTTGGTCTAATGCTCTTGTGTGCTGAGAACATGACGCACAAGTGGGAGGACCAGAAACAGCCTGGAGATACCAGAGCTACCAGGTAACGCTAAACTCTGACACCTCTCCACAAGTCACAAACTCAACTTTTCTAAATACCAGGCTGTTTACACCGACACCATCAATACCCAGAGCGAGGATGAAGTGTCAGACGTATTGTTATTTTAACAGTTAATAAACAGAGTCCTTCTTTCTGCAATTATCACAACTTCATTCTCACCTAGGAAAACACGCTTCCAGTGAAAAGTTGCGAAAAAAAAAAAAAAAAACGAAGCCGCCATTGCAGGTGTAGACTGTGCATCCAATTAAAGACAGTCTGTCACTCACACGTCGCACACCTGTACCTCCATCTGTGCCCGCGCCACCAGCCACACGCCAATGCGATTATTCAGCATTAGGTTTTCCCCTCCTCTTTTCTGTCACAGTTTTTGGACGAAATGTGTCCTATTTTCCACAGACGTTTTGCGATAATTGGCTTCCCAAACTTGAGGCTTGCAGGATTTAGGATGTTTTGATGGACACCGGCCAGAATAGCGGTGTATATGAGGGGAATGTTGATCCGCTTTTGCAGACGCTATTGTGGGAAATGAGAGCGTGTTTTGTGGGGTAGATTGGAGCTTAATTATCACAGAGTGCCCACGGTTTTGCGTTTTTTAAAGATGGCCACACCGTGTACAAGAGAAATACGTTTTCAACATATTTTGGTACGGATATTATTGGCTTTTAAATATGCACAGCGGAAATACCCTGCATTTACCTCAATCTGATAATTGTATGTTATATCAGGTTGAGTTTCATTTAAACTGGTTTCATTTCCATTTTTAGAGAGACACAATATCCAAATATCCAACTTAAACAAAAGTTCAAGAGAGCGGAGTGCTGCAGTTGGTCTAATTTCAGTTTCTCATCAAGATCAACAGTGGCAAAAACATTGGAAAGCTATGAAAAGAGGAGAACAATCTGAGGCACTCTTAACTCCTTTATTTTACTCTAGACGATAAAATACAAATCCTTTAATGAATGTAGCCATGGCCGAAACACGTTGGAAAATCCCCCGTTCATTATTAAAGGATTTTTATTTTATTGTCTTTAGTTCCTCGGATTTTTCTCCTCTATCCAACTTTAATGTTAGCATTTTATGTCTCATAAAGTTCTTCCCGTGTCTGTTAAGAACCCTGGGTTTTTTCTGCATGAATGGGTCTTTATAAATACATTTGCCTTGCCTTGCCTTAATGAGGTTAGATAACTCATTCGACTAAGATATAGCTACCTAACTTTCAAACCACAAAATAATTAACTGTAATAAAATCCATATCTATCACTACTATTCACACGCATGCATTTTCTCCTCTGTCACATCTTTAAATTAGATTTTTCTGATAGAAAAGTGGAAAAGAATGGACTTTTTTTTTTACCCTGACTCAGCCATTCAGCTCCCAGCCAAAAGCATCAAACAGTGACTCACAGAGCTTGTTTGAAATTTATTTAAAATTGTTTTTAAAAGATAAAGACGGCATATTGTGGTCTTATTTGTTCACAACATTTCACTTATACGTGACTGTTTATCTTGCAAAATAAAATCTATTATTTATTTAAAACAGGTTAGCTGTAGCCTCTCCTCCAGCTTTAAAAAATTGCATAGTTATGTAATCTTGTTTTCTAAAAAAAAATTGGGTTGGCCTTCAATGATGGCATAACACAACGGTGTTAAACAAAAATAGCTACAAGGTCCAACCTGACTACAGCATATACTAACTTTAAATAAAGTTAATTTTACAACATTTCCAAACTTATCACCCACAGAGGTGCACATAACTCCAGGGATCTCTTCCTTCTCTGACAGCATGACCATATATGGACGTGCAGCGGGCTTTATGTCAGCGGCTCATCTCAGTGAGGTAATATAAACATCAGTCTGACCTGGCCTTGTTTCTTCAGGGAGACGCTGGCTTAATTAGAGAAAGCACACGCACTCTGGAGTCTATTGAGTCAGAACACAGAGGTGCACCCAAGAGAACAGGGTCAGGTCAAGTCTATTTGTGTGTACACAAATACAATATCATGCTCGGGCTAGAGGTGGGAGTACGGCTACACAACACTTTGGAAATAGATACAGAAACTTTGCCATTTCAGTAAATACATCGGTTATAAAAAACACTTTTATTGGAGACTCAAAGATGCTTCAAATGTTGTTATTCATTCTCTCCAAACAAGGTGGTGATAAACTACCACAGTGGCCACAGCTGCCCTGGAGCAGGCCGTTAGAAGCTATAGGCAACCAGAATGTGCCTCCGACCACTGCCAATCATTCACTCACTCAAACTCATCCTGGGTGAAGTTTAATCCTTAAGGACACAATGACAGTTTGGCATCTAGTGTTCCCAGAGCGCCCCCATCACAGTATTAACCATGTCCTGTCCTGCTTAGCTTCGGAGGTCTGACAGGATCTGGCTTTCACATGTATGTTGTCCCATAAGATTCTGCTGTCAGACTGTACAACAAACAATAAGGACTAATGAACACTGCCAACTTGATCCCATGTGTCATGCATCATTGCAATATTGTTAACTAATATCAGAATGTGCAATATACTGCTGCTAATCCACAGATGTAAACATACTGCTGCTAATGTACAGATGTGAACATACTGCTGCTAATGTACAGATGTAAACATACTGCTGCTAATGTACAGATGTGAACATACTGCTGCTAATGTACAGATGTAAACATACTGCTGCTAATGTACAGATGTGAACATACTGCTGCTAATGTACAGATGAAAACATACTGCTGCTAATGTACAGATGTAAACATACTTCTGCTAATGTACAGATGTAAACATACAGCTGCTAATATGTACAGATGTAAACATACTGCTGCTAACATGTACAGATGTAAACATACTGCTGCTAATGTACAGATGTAAACATACTGCTGCTAACATGTACAGATGTAAACATACTGCTGCTAACATGTACAGATGTAAACATACTGCTGCTAATATGTACAAATGTAAACATACAGCTGCTAACATGTACAGATGTAAACATACTGCTGCTAACATGTACAGATGTAAACATACTGCTGCTAACATGTACAGATGTAAACATACTGCTGCTAATGTACAGATGAAAACATACTGCTGCTAATGTACAGATGTAAACATACAGCTGCTAACATGTACAGATGTAAACATACTGCTGCTAACATGTACAAATGTAAACATACAGCTGCTAACATGTACAGATGTAAACATACTGCTGCTAATATGTACAAATGTAAACATACAGCTTCTAACATGTACAAATGTAAACATACAGCTGCTAACATCTACAGATGTAAACATACTGCTGCTAACATGTACAGATGTAAACATACTGCTGCTAACATCTACAGATGTAAACATACTGCTGCTAACATGTGCAGATGTAAACATACTGCTGCTAACATGTACAGATGTAAACATACTGCTGCTAACATGTACAGATGTAAACATACTGCTGCTAACATCTACAGATGTAAACATACTGCTGCTAACATGTACAGATGTAAACATACAGCTGCTAACATGTACAGATGTAAACATACAGCTGCTAACATGTACAGATGTAAATATACTGCTGCTAACATGTACAGATGTAAACATACTGCTGCTAACATGTGCAGATGTAAACATACTGCTGCTAACATCTACAGATGTAAACATACTGCTGCTAACATGTGCAGATGTAAACATACTGCTGCTAACATGTACAGATGTAAACATACTGCTGCTAACATGTACAGATGTAAACATACTGCTGCTAACATCTACAGATGTAAACATACTGCTGCTAACATGTACAGATGTAAACATACAGCTGCTAACATGTACAGATGTAAACATACTGCTGCTAACATGTACAGATGTAAACATACTGCTGCTAACATCTACAGATGTAAACATACTGCTGCTAACATGTACAGATGTAAACATACAGCTGCTAACATGTACAGATGTAAACATACTGCTGCTAACATGTACAGATGTAAACATACTGCTGCTAACATGTACAGATGTAAACATACTGCTGCTAACATCTACAGATGTAAACATACTGCTGCTAACATGTACAGATGTAAACATACTGCTGCTAACATGTACAGATGTAAACATACTGCTGCTAACATGTACAGATGTAAACATACTGCTGCTAACATGTACAGATGTAAACATACTGCTGCTAACATGTACAGATGTAAACATACAGCTGCTAACATGTACAGATGTAAACATACTGCTGCTAACATGTACAGATGTAAACATACAGCTGCTAACATGTACAGATGTAAACATACTGCTGCTAACATGTACAGATGCTATAACTACTCTTAGCTTGCACTAGAATACACAGTACTTTATACTTGCCTCTTATTTTGCCAAATGTAAAACTTGTACAACTCTTTTATTATCATTTTCAAGATATAGATTTTATACTTGTTATTTGATGGTCAAGTTAGAGATTTTGTTTTATTTTAATTAGTGTAGCTATTGTTCACTTAACTTGTGCCGTGTGCTCCTCTTTCCTACCGTCCTATAACTTGTGATAACACACTGAAATTTCCCAACTGTGGGACGAATAAAGGACCTCTTAATCTTAAATAACAATCTCAAAACATTGTGAGTGCCAGCCCTCAATCAGCCAATCAGCTGTCAGCATCATAAGTAAACAATGTTTCCTTATAAGATAGCACTTTAAATACTTGCTAAGTTTTTTTTCATGTGTGTATATTTCTGTGTTTCAATTGTGCAGTTTTTTTCTTGTCTGTATAGCACTTTGGTAAGCCAAGACCGTATTAAATGAGCTTTACAAAAAAAGTATTGATTGACTTTCTCTTGGGACAAAAACATTATAATTAACAGAAAAAACGCCAATATCCCAGCTTTGAACAAAGTGCAACGTCCATCCTGAGTCTGGGTCATCACATTCGGAAGTGACTGTGATAAGCAAACGTGGTATCCACTTTGAAAAACACTGGTCAAAAATCTATTATTCTTGCATAATTTTTGTGTTATAACAATCGGTTTCAAGTCTAGTGTTTGTGCTTAAGTTTGAATTATTTTTGCCGAGCATAAAAACAGTATAATTATAGCTCCCATTTACTTTGTTTGAAAAGCACTTTGTTTTGTGGGAGCCAACGTTGGAAAAGTAAGCCTAGATGACAATATACATTTAACCTGTTATGCAAACATTCTTGTCCACAAAATTCACGTCTCGCTCCATTTTTCCAACAACCAATTGGCGTGTTGCGTTTTTCCCCCGAGAAACTCATTCAAGTGCTGTGTTTTGTGGTACAGGGGCAGCAACCTTATCTCGCAGTTTATCCACCACCAGCGCATTTTATTTCACACATTGATTTTGAACAGCTGCCAACAAACTGTCCGATTTTTTTTTTTCTTTTTCCCCTGAGCAGAAACAGACAGGACATGGAGGGGGCATAGTGTGTACCACATGCACACGGCGCTTGCATAAACAGGAGACAGTGCTTTACCGACCCTTTGCTCATACAAACAAGATTATGCTTAGACAATCATTTACATAATTGTATCACTTTTTAATGAAGCAGAACAGAACTGGTGAACTGTTAACAACTGGGGGTTAATATTTAAAAACATGAATCCTCACTTTAGCTGGCAAAGATTCCAGCATGTGTTGTGGTTGAGAATGAGAAATGATTATAGTTTTAACCCTTTAGGCGCCAAAGTAGCATAATTGCTACACACGCTCCTCAATCCAGGACACAGTGACTATATATTTTGACATAATTTTCTTTTATCATTTTATTTATTGTTTAAAGTAGTCCGCTATCTACTATAAAGTTACATGTTGTCACCTTTCGTCTATTTCACCATACTTTTCTCAATAAAATGCTGGAGCCTAAAGGGTTAATAAATTAAACTATGACTGATTGGACAGAACTTCATACCTCAATCTTCATGTCAGATATCACAGGGGACGCCCGTGGTACTGCAGACTCACTCAATTCACATGGGCTACCCAGAAAAATGTCCCATAGCTCGACCTTAGCTGACAGAGAACCTACAGCTTTCATAAAGGTTGGATTTTGTGGGGATTCTCCTTGTCATCCTGGACTTTTTTTCTTCTTAAATCCTTTGGTTTTCCACACTTTACTGCCACAAACTCTGCTCGTTTTTCCCCTCTGTGCATGTGCATGAGAGCCACACACGCGTAATTGGCGCAAAGCATCATGGGAGCTTGCCCACTGCGCAGAACCGGGAGGACCAGATGATGCCCAAATACGGACAAGTTCTTCTAATCTCTCGGTCCCCTCTCTGTCGCCACTGAGCACAAGCCATTCATTTGAATAGGGTGCCATCTTGGATCACCGGGCTTGGTCCACGCCCCTCTCTTACCCCCTACAACACTGCTATCCTCATACACTCAATGCAATTATCTTGGGTCTACCTCAAAACTCCAGAACTCAGCGGCCTGTATACTCATACTGTATATTAGTGGACGGACCAAGTACTGCCCTCACCGTGACGTAGTGTTAGCTTTAATGAGGAAGAAGCTAGAACAGGTTATTTGAGCGGAAATGCGGAACAAGCACCAATTAGGACCGGCGCTGGTCTGCCCCCTTTTTTGCTACTCGCCAACTAAAGTTAAAGTCGGTCAGTTTTTACGGCTCATATTAAGATTAAGAAATCCTTTATTCAGCCCACAGTGGGGAGATTACAGTGTTGAATCACCAGTTATAGAACAGTAGGATTGAGGAGCTTTCGGCAAAAAGATAAGTGAACAATAACTCTAAAATAAAATACAATTCTAACTTTAGCAAAATAATGAAGCAAGTCTAAAATCTCCAACTTTAGCAAACGGCAGAAAGTGTAAAATCTTTGATAATAAAGATCCATTCTGGAAAATACAAAGACAATGTAGTCTATATGAGTTTCAATGTAAGTCAATAGGAGCCAGAACGAGTAGGAGCCAAACTTTGTCCATGAGCCTTTTCTTCTTTTTTCAAACAGAATAATGAGAAGTGAAGACCACCCTCACTCAGCCAATCATATCTCTCCTCAAAAGTCACTGGGCTCATTCAAGAGTGAGGGTTCTCAGCATGAAGACAGCATGTGGTGGTCAGACATTATTTAATTAACAATAGTTTTCAGTAGTTAGTTAACCCAGCTTCAATGTGTCTTTTTGTGTGAGTTATTGACACAGAATATTATTTTAAACAATTACTTCTTCGGAGGCCATTTCAATATGACGGTTTGTTACAGACGTTCAAATCTGTTGTTGTGACAGATTTATATAATATTTTCCCTCGAGACAAATGGAAGTAATGACACTGGTCGTTATCTTTCCAGTAAAGCTGAGAATTTGTGTATTGGGGCCAGTTATTTATATCCTCTCTCTCTCTCTCTCTCTCTCTCTCCCCATCTCCACATTCTGTCTTAGCGTCAGGTTGTAGAGTAACCACGGCCCATCAGACGAATCACCAATTAAAAGGATTGTGATCTGAAGTGTGGCGGTGCACAACTAATTAACACGAGAAAAGCAGCGCAAACGGAGAAAGCGACGCACCAGCGACTAACTCCACTTTGAAGCTCTCATCGGCCAATTAAAAGTCTCCTATGTGGTGTGTGCCGACAGAAGGGTGCGATGGTCCAAAACAGGCAAGACTTTAAGCTTAAATTGCACTTTATTTTCTTTTTTTTTTTTGCGTCAACCCAAACTTTAAAATGTAATAATGTTGAGGTTGTTCATTAGCCAAGATTCAGTCATGCATGCGGTTACAGTTGCAATTACATAATCGTGTATAATGGCTACTCACTGTATTTTCTTGGTGAAATTCTTTGTCACTATGCCTCCTTCTTCCTGTTGTTCTTCGTGTTTTCCTGTTGAAAAAGCAAAGTTATTTAGTTGTTTAGCCAAGTAATCGGTTGATGGTGTCCAAGTAAAACAACATTTGGATTAGTTATCTATTTATTGTATTTAAATTTCAAGGTTTTCGGTAGGGATTCGATGGAGGCCAGTGTTCCCCAACCCTTTTGAGCCGTGGCACACCTTATTCATTGAAGACAATCACATGGCACTCCACCAGCTGAAACTCTGCAGCCTTTAGCAACAAGGCAAAATGTTTTATATAGAAAATCATCTCTTTCTCATCAAAACGTATTATATAAAAAATCAAACAAGCACAAAAATCTATTTAATCTTCTTGCATTATTTTCTTTTCACATTATATTGACCAGTCAGGTGATCATTTCCAAAGGTACACCAAACCACGTCTCAAGGCAGACCAACGTGCCACGGCACACTGGTTGAAAAACACATGGAGCAAATTCTCTGATTTTTTTATATTGAATTTCAAGTTAAATCAAAGTCAATTGAGTAGTTTCATTATCAATTAGTCAAGAGATAAAAATAATTCATTATATGGCTAAAAAGTGAGGGGCTGGTGCTCTGTGTACTGGGTGCAGCTCTGACTGCCACCCCCCGACCCAGAAATGGATTAAGGGGAAGAAGATGGATGGATGGATATGGCTAAAAAGTCTTCAGAGACCAGTTTAGTTCAAAGACATGATTGTTTTAAAGGAATTTGCAGGGTTAATCTTTAGGAAACCAACTATACTAGTATGTTTATTACTTGGGTATGTTATTACTTCTTTATCAGGCTAAATTCAGAGATTATATATCTAATTCTTTATCTTCATTACACTAAAGCTAGAGGTTTTATACTTGCTTCTTTATTTTGCTAAAGTTACATATGTTATACCATCTATTGTTCATTTCTCTTTTGTAGTGTGCTCCTCATTTCTACTGTTCTGTAACTGGCGATGCAAAACTGAAATCTCCCCGCCGTGGGACGAATATAGAATCTCCTAATCTATTTATACAAAAACTAAAAGTATAAGTCCCGGCACTCTTCTCTATCAGGATTCAGTTCAGAACATGTTTCTTAATGTAGAGCTGTGAAAGCCCGGGTATCCAAGGACAACATGGGGGATATTTATTTGGAGTATTATCTGAGAGAAACAGGTGTGTCCACTTTGATAAACTTTGTGTCAACATCCATAGATGGCAGATCAAATAAATAGAAAACATTTCCTCTGTGCCAAGCAAAAAGAGCTGGGGGCCAAACATTTCATCACATTGAGGTAACGTAATATTTTGTCAGTGTTGAAATTATTTAGAAATCATTTATTAGTTTTGCCTTTTCCAGGAATGACCCATATATCTCCGGGTAACCTTCAGGGGAGCAGGGCTGTATTTCCTGGGCTGCAGCTGCTCTGGGGCTGATAAATGTCACCGACCTTTGCCTCTCTGTTATTCTTCAGCCTCACGGAGACCTCTGCGGACATGAGATCACACTCACGGACTCATTACTGTCTCATCATCGTGATAACTTCCCCCAGAATACACTTTGTCCAAGATACATTTCAGGAATAATAAAGGCGTGGTTGTTTCCCATGACCAATGTGTCAGATTCCTCAGACTGAATGTAATAAACCCCAAGAGAGGCAATCTCTGAGCTATCATGCAACTTTGTACAGCTCTCTTCACTCCCACATTTGTGTCAGTTTTATTGTGTACACACGTTATTATCAATACAGAAAATAGATTTTATTTTAAAGAAGCTAAAGTCATAGGAGGATAGTTAGGTGATGTGCCTATGGAGAATGAAACTAATGCAAATCTAACTATCTAGATCATGGGTCTCCAACCTGTGGCTCGGGAGCTAGCAGTAGCTCGCCAGGCCCTTTCAGGTAGCTCCACAAAATGATCCTGAATGATTATATTTTGAGTTGATACATATCTATTTTACGTATAAGGTTAAATAGTATTATGGAATTCTCTCCATGTTTTGTTATAGTTATACAGACACTTATAAGTACAAAAGGGAGTAGCTCTGTTGTATTAAAGTAGCTCTCTGATTGAGAAAGTTTGGGAACCCCTGATAGACGTTTTGATCAAAAGGTCACATATTTTTCAGACATAGTCCTTGCAATCCAATGTGTCTAAACAAGTGTCTGATAAAATCTCTTTGCATGATGAGTGTTGTAAGGCCTGAGACACACCACTGGGACAGGCCCACTTTTAGAACAGGGTCAGCTCTATAACTGCTGTTGGTGCTGCTGATGGAACCACCCAGCTGACATATCAACAATGTTTCTATAAAAAGCGCTGAGGACTCTGGGTATCCCTGGAATCTAAGGCTCTGGACGCACACATTTCTAGAACCTGTTACAGTCTGTATAGAGTCAGGAGGAGCAGAGACAGGATCTGTGCAACTGTTTCCAGAAGCTTCTCTGCTGTTTGAGGCGCACAGCACTGTTGCCACAGGCCTGCAGGCTAAATGCAGCTCAGGCACAAGTGACAGAGTGAGTCTCTAGGAATCTGAGACAGGTGTTAGGGCTCTGCTGAGGATGTGCCAAGCCCCAGTCAGGACGGCTCCTCTGCACCAGCCTCTGCACCAGCCGGAGCTCGCACTTACTGTCTGGAATTAAACATCTAACTTTATAAAAGACTATAAATAATGAATAATCCAGACTGAGAGTTTACACAAACTAATCCAGAATTATCTTTATCTATAGAGAAAGGGGATTGAGCTAAGACACATATTTGTTTGTAAAATTAAGCTTTTCTTAACTACACTACTGTGGCCTAAACTATGTACATTTCTATATTGTGAGTTCAATAAAGTTTATAGTATCTTATCTTATCTTGCTCTTCTGACAGCCCATGGATGGATTGGTTTCACTATTGAAATAATGAACTTTCATCATATGGATATAACCCAATAGGTTTTGTGATTCTGATTTTCCACCATGACTCTATTTGAAGGTGGTTCACAAGTTTAACACAAGCTTTCCATCTTGTTTGCTCTTCTGTCACATGCCTCACCTCAGGCCCGTCCCAAGGGGGGTGCGAGGCCCTGTGCGAACTCGAAACGCGAGGCCCTGCCCTGACACTTTTTTCCCAGATCTGAGGAAAGTTTTTCCTGTTATAATCTTTGACATGAATTCAGCACCACCTCGCGCGGTGCTTGACGAGATCAGCACGCGCGTAGCCGAGTGTCTTCGCTCCTATGCAGCGTTTGGCGCGCGCACGTACACACGCACACACACTCTACGTGCAATATTGGTCGCGGTCTTTTTAGCTGACATGTCTCTTTCGTCCTGTGGCAAAATGGTAGAGCAACTCAAAAGATTGAACCAAAAGGAGTCTTTTTCTTCTAATAGTTAGATTTGGGCAAAATGCGCCAAAATGGCTATGAGGCGGAGTCAATATTATTATTTTCTCATCAAATAACGTTTTTGCCATGCCTCCACACACTCTGACAACATACACTCCTCCTCCTCCACACTGACAACAACAAAATACTCTTCACCTCCTCCTCCACACACTCTGACCACAACAAAAACACTCCAGCTAGCTAAAGCTAGACATACAGTGTGTTTGCTAATGCTTTTAAAAATATGTTTTTGATGTGGATATTCGGACTAAACATTGGCAATAGCAGCGCTCACACACCTGTCACACCGCTGATCCTCCTCCTCCTCCTCTGCTCACACAAAGGGGTCTGCTCCTCTGCTCACACTTGTCTCACTGCTCCTCCTCCGCGAGTATCCATCTCTCCTACACTGCGATCATTCCCGTTACTTTCTTTGTATCTCACTCAGACACTGCTAAAGTTATCTGACAGTTTTTTCGGAGGACCCGTTGCATACATAGCTGCCCGCGCGCCTGCCTGTTTACAAATCGCTTTTGGTGAAAATTTGACTTTACTTGTAAAAATGTTCTTTTGATCAAACGAAATCAAAGAGGTCCAGAGAAAGGGGTTTAGGGTTCCAAATTTGGAGTGCAGTCTGCCCTTTGGGGACCCTTGAACTAGTGTATTTATAAAATAAAATAAAAGGAAGGAAGATTGCGAGGCCCCTGTGTGGTGCGAGGCCCTGTGCGACGGCACAGGTCGCACAGCCCTTAGGACGGGCCTGCCTCACCTGACACTTCCACAAAGCCCTCTTTGGTTCGGATCTGCAGCTCCTCAGGCTTGAAGCTGTGCACATTTACGCACACCTTCCAGGGCTCTCCATTGGTGGCGGTGGGTGCGTTATGTGACGAGGGCTCCCCGTATCTGCTCGTGTAGAGAGCGGGTCCTCCCGAAGACGGACGCGCGGGGAAACCTGTGCGCAGACCACCACTAAAGGGCATGGGTCCTATCCGTGTGCTGAGGCGACCAGGCCGTGCCCAGCCAGGCCATTCCATAGCGAGGTCATCGGGGAAAGGAGACATCCCAAAGTCCTCGTTCATGAAGCGAGACGCGAGAGACTGGTCCCGGAATGGAGACTGCTCTCTGAAGGGAGACTCACAGAACGGGTCCCGGGGAAAGCGCTGGCGGCTCCCCATAGTGTAATAATCTCCCTCAGCCATGGCTTAAAAGTGTTACACAATAAAACAACTGTTCGCAAAACAACTTTTAAAACTTATCAGCCGTCCGGGTCGTGAGGTGCATCACTTTCCCGCAGTCTCCTCCCTGTCCCACACGGGTCACTCCAGCCGCGGCCTTTGCTCTGGTGGCTTTATACTGACGCAGATTCCGCACACGATGAGCGGACCAGGGCAAGTGCCGGGAAAGCGCTGGAGAGATCTGGGCAGTACAGGCGCACTGCAAAAAACACTCCATAACCAATGACACCATGACCCTCCCAACTCCTCCCACTCACTGTAAACTCCACTTCTGGGTCAGCGCCACTTCTGCACTCACACAATGACTGAATCCAAACTTTACTGGGAAACATGGCAAGTTGGGACATTAAATAATCATCTTTTGTAGCCTTACTGTGGGCTGAGGAAGGCTATGTATAAGTAGCTATGATGTGTATTTGTCTATTAAAGCTGGGGTACCTGACTTTACTTTTTCCATAGAAAATACATGTTTGTCTCAACAGGAAGAGTCATGTGAAAGAACAATGTGTATGAAATAGACCACAACACTATATATTCATCTGATTTGATTAGCTATCTAATGCAGGCGACACAGTTGGGCAGTGGTTAGTGCTGGTCTAGGGTTCGACTCCACCTCCAGACAGGGCCTTTCTGTGTGGAGATTGCACACAACAGTTTCCTCCGGGTGTGATGGGAGACCTCTGGGAACACAGAGTAGGGCGGCTGCGGCTGTAAAGTGCCAAACTGTTGTTGTGTCCTTAGGCCAGATACTTCACCCATTTATTCTAGAATCTGGTGTGTGCGTGAGGGTTGGTGGTGGTCGGAGGGGCCGATGGCGCAAACTGGTTTCCTTGCTTCTGTCAGTGTGTCCCAGGGCAGCTGTGGCTACAGTAGTAGTTTATCACCACTGTGTTTGGAGTGAAAGATTAACAACATGTGAAGCGTCTTTGTCCTGGAAAGCACTAAAACCGATGCATTAGTAAGCAAGTATAGTAATCTTTATTTATATACCGCCCTTCACAGACCAGAGTCACAAAGCGGTTTACAATGGTTATTTTTTGGGCCATTTAGGCATTATTATAATATTATTACTATTGGCTCAGTCCTTTCTTTTTCACTTTCCTGTCTGGATAAGCTTCTCCACAGATGTGACAGAGGCCAACAACATACATGTGAAAGCTAGTGATAGAACAACACTATTTTGAGAACAAGGAATTGTTTGTTGTTTGAAAGTTAGGTACCCAAGATTTAATTACACATATTTTGCAAACCCTGCCTAATAAAAGTTCTGCAACACGCAACAATGGAATATTCAAAACTGCTGCTTTACTCATGTATGTAACATTCAAAGTCAGAGACATAATTCTAGTTTTACAGTGTGGTCTATGACAGCTGAGACAAGGCCAGCCTTCTCTTTCCCAAATGAAAGGAGCGCTCTTCCATCAGCTGCTATAACCCCCACCCTCCCATGAGTGACTCCATGGCTTTTTATTCACTCTTAGCTCATGCAGCCTTGGAGAAAACTCTTTTTTTGCGTCATTAAGCAGCTAATATTACAACTCCAGGTTTACAATGCTGTTGACTTGTTAAAAGAAGACGGCAGGCAGTTGAAGATAGAATATGACATTTATTGTAGCTTATTCTCAACACGCAGTGACAGAAGGGGCCAAAGTAGGAACAGTCCTTGGTGACACATTGTTTATCATCACACATGTGGCGACATCGTTTTAAAAATACAGTCCTCGGTACAGAAAATAAATAGCTTGTTTTGAGTCACTATTGCTATATGTGCTGGTTGTTAAGAAAAAAAATAGCGTATTTCAATGAATTTATGTTTAAAAGTGGAAAACATATTATGACAACTTTGGAGATTTTTTTTTCTATTGAGCTTGCACTAGTATTTACTTTCTGATGTAGTTTGTGCTTCAACATTTCCTATAGTTTTAGTTTCTATGTAGATACAGTGGACTTTCTTGCATCATTGGGACCAATAGAAATGGGCGACAGTAGCTCAGTTGGTAGAGCATTGGCCTTAAGGCCAGAAGGTCGTGGGTTCAATTCCCACCTCTGCACCTTCTCCACCGACTCCCACTGATGACTGCTGTCGTTGTGTCCTTGGGCAAGACACTTAACCCCACTTTGCCCAAAGCCCCCACTGAAAGATCAAGGCTATGCTCACACTCAGCGAGCAGCCGTCCTCCTGTGGACTCACCACCTGCAGAGGGTCAGTGAGGGGCTGGTGCTATGAGACTTGGGTGGCATCTCTGACTGCCACCCCCCTGACCCAGAAATGGATTAAAGGGTAGAAAATGGATGGATGGATGGAAATGACATAGTAAAAGGAGAAACTCTATCTGGGACATGTAAGTAAGTAGTAAGTAAGTTTTATTTATATACCGCTGTATCTATATACACATAGATACTGCTGATTTTTCTGGTGGAGGGTGTATTTAGTGACATAATTCACAAAGGATATGGGGGAATGAAGGACTGGAACTGCACCTCTTGACGGAGGTCTGCACTCCACGAGAGCTTTTCCGTTATGAATGTACACGTACACAGGAGTCAAGCAAGTAAAGTCATATTTGCTTTGAGTAGAACCATCATAATGTAAAGTGGCGCCACCTGGATGTGAAAGCCAGATTCTGTCAGGCCACTGAAGCTAACTAAGCAGGACAGGTATTGGTTAGTGCTGTGATGGGAGACCCCAGGCGGCTGCAGCTGTAAAGTGCAAAATTGCCGTTGGGTCCTTAGGCAAAACACTTCACCCACATTGTCCAGAATGAGTCTGGTCTGTGTGCGTGAATGATCGGTGGTGGTCAAAGGGGGGGTCGCAGTGCCCCAGGGCAGCTGTGGCTACAGTATTAGCTTGTCACCGTTGTGCATAATAACGTGTGAAGCGTCTTTGAGTGTCCAAAAAAGCGCTACATAAAACCGGTGCAATTATAATATATAGGGTATTTATATGTAGGGTTTTTTGAATATTATAAACATCTGTAATAAAATTCTATGCACGTTTTATGTTATACTGAGGTATATTCTAAGCTAAGAATTAAAATTGCCATGGAAACAATCAGAAAGTTGTGCACTGAACCTTTAAAAAATGAAAAATAAATGAATTGAGTGGGGTCACCTTTCCACAGAATGACCTGTTATACCAGAGATATTACTTTCTCTGCAAATAGTAGTGTATGTTTAGAATATGGTATAGGTCTATTTATTACACAATATGTTTGATATGAAAATGGGCACGGTCACAAACTAGGCCAAGTGGCCCGGATCGTCGCCACAGGGGTGTGAAGCACGGCCCGTGGTCACAAGAGCTTCTTCTCCCAACCGTGCCAGAGCAACCGAGCAACTAGTACAACACTCGGTACAGCTGGTGGCGCTAATACTAACTTCAGCGACTACCTTGTTGTCAAGAGTTAAGTTTCCGTTTCTCTACTGTAGCGCTAACAGCTCGAGTATGGATTTTTATGTTTAGGGAAAGACACATCTCACACATGTCCACATTGCTCTGATGCAAAGTGCACCAGTTCAGTGGGTAACATGTGTGTGCACATGTGTGTGTGTGCGTGGGCGCGTCTTGGACACAGGAGCACGCCTCTTTAGTAACGAGCGTGAGAGTGCTGAGAAATGAATGAATGAGAATGAAAAGTGTTGCGTACGAGCAGAGCGACTGGAGCCAAGCAGGATACAAGTCTATTGGTGTGTTCTGGCAATTAAATAAAGACTGATCCTTGAATGTCTGAAGTACAGTAATATTGCAGCAGTAGCACACTGTGAGAGCGAGGGTCAGGAGGACAGAAGGACGTTATTCCTGTAGGAAACACTTCCCTTTGGCCCTGCAGCAACACACCCCCTGCGCCCCTCGACCACGGTCCGGGGCTTATATGAACGGTTTAAAACATGCGGAGAATACGAAAGTGCAGACATGTGTGTGAAAGACGTAATGTGATGCACGTCACATTATGTCTTCTGTTGTGAAGCGCAATATCAAGTCCCCACCACACCTCATCCCCCACTCCCCAACACCACCCTGCTCAGGCCCACTTGCAGCAACCGTGCCTAAGCCCAGTTGCCGCGGTCACATAGCACCTAAAGCCCGAATCGCAAAGTCAAGAACATGATGATTGTTCAGGACTCCCTTGAAAAAGAGGTTGTTAATCTCAATGGGACTTTCCAGGTTAAATAAAGGTTAAAAAAAAATTGAAAAAGAGAAAAAGAGATACCTCCAGTGTGAATAGGCTGTAAGTAAATATTGAGGCAAGAGTATTTAGGTCTGTTCTGAGTCCTGTCCTCCAGAGGCCGCCCTTGTTGACGTGAAGCGATACAGACTGTTACATAACATCAGTAGATTTTTCAGCTACCCAAATGTGAAATCTGAAAATGTCTCCGTGTGAACATAACTTTATACTAGTATTTGACATTCTGCAAAAACAATTCACAATAGCATTAGCCCATACCATTCATGGATATGCATATTTACATCACATTAACTTGTATTATGTTCCAAAGTATTTTTCTGCACAATGTAAACTTTACACAGTGAAATTGAGGAGCCGTCATTGGCATTTGCATTTGTTCTTAAATATACAACAAAACATTTCTCATCCTCTCTCATGCTTTGTGAGTCAAGTCTATAAGTGCATAGAGCTAATATGCCAGGCCTGATCCAGTCTAGAAAAAAAAAAGAAGTGCTCTTACTTCTATTTTTTAAATATCTGAGTGGAAAACAAATCAACATTTACAACATACAAAAATAAATTACAGAGATATTTACATTTGACAGTGTTGCATAGAGACAGAGAACACTGGAAAGGGAACACAACTTATAAATATTAAATAAACAATAAATAAGTAGGCCTTGAAACAGCGCAGAACAAGGAAAAAGTCTCTCGAGGTATGGCTTTTACATACAGGAGAACACACAGGTTTGGTTAATGCCAGTGCTGATCCATTTGCATTCTGTAATCAAAAACAATAAAATCTTTGTACACGTGGGTTTCGGCCGAGAGATTTCCAATAAATACTGTCGGTAAATTGATATTGCCTTGGAGAAAACATTTAGAAGTAGTCATGTTTTTCTTATATTCATGTTTTTCCTCCTGCTGGACTGCCACAACATTGTCTGAACATAAATACCACAATAATAATGAGATTTGTTTGATCAATACCGTGCAGAAAATAAGCACAGACGCTGGTGAAGGGGAGACACAGTCGCCATGTTTGCAGTGGTTCAGGGCTGTATTACATGGGCTGACATTTCAATAGTTTTCCACTTGATCAGAGGATAAATTAATTTGACATTTGAGTTGACAGGTGCTCTGCCATTTCATTTTTCAGAGAGAGTGCGTGTTTGTTCTGCGCCGTGTGAAGTGGTCAGATCACAGCAATAAAGCCTGCCTGGTTCTGATAAGATTTTCTATGGATGCCATTTATAAAAGGCACCCATCAAGTGGGATGTGTTTCTTCTGGCAGAACGACCCTCCACAACATGACAAATTAAATGGAGCTAAAATATTTCTTTTGCATTTAATTTGGCTATTGATTCCATTCTTTTTGGAAAATGGGAAAGAAAAGCCTCTGTACCCAGTTTTGAGCCAAGTCTACCTTGTCATGTCCCAAGTTATCCCTTTACATAACACATTTAAGACCCACATTAGAAAGGTACATTTACTGTGTTGTCATTTGTTTTGCAAAATATCTAAAAGAAATTGCTCAATAATTAGATTTTTGAGAAATTAGAGAAGTGGCCGATTGTGCAGCCCTGAAACTTTATACGAGATAGACCGGTACTAGAACAAGAACATAATGTAATCAAATTATACACATTTAGAAGATGTTTTATGTGCTAACCAGTGGCTGAGTGGTGTGCTTCACAGCAAGAAAGTCCTGGGTTTGATTCCAATTCCAGATGGGACTCTGTGTGGATGGGTTTCCTCCGGGTGCTCCGGTATCCCCTCCCACTAAAAACATGAATAACTGTTCAGGGTGAATGAGTGTGTTTTTGTGAGTGTCACTCTGGGACACATGGAAATTAGCCCAAGGCTACAATATGAGAATTGTGGGAAGCCAGGTAACTGTATGATTGATAATTAGATTTACAAGCAACTATGACAATAATTTCAACTGTTTAGTTGTGAGAATAAAATGTCAAACTTTGGATCTGCCAGAAGCCGATAATATTGTTCAAAATGTTTCCCCAAAAATATACTGTACAATGTGCATTCTTGTTTTAACTTGATCCAGTCCGTCGCGCTAAAATCAGATGAATTATCAACTTGTCGGTTTTGTATTCGCCACATTTTTCTTCCCACGTTGTCGGCAATGCTGTAGCAAATCCACGGGCAAATTCAAAGTCTCATCTTTGAGCAAACACATTCACCTCTTGGCAGATTAAGTCTTCGGTGTGAGTGCTGATGCAAGACGCTGAACAAAAGCAAACAAGTATTCATCTCTGTAGCACTCAGAACAAGACTGCTACAACGGCCCAGATGGCGTATTACCACTGTCCTGGGTGCTCACTGCTGCCCCCCACTGGTCCTATCCCAGTTTACATTCGCCCTAATGCCTTTTCCTTCTGCAGCATTTGTGCGTCTTCCTGCGGCTTCGGCTCCAGCTGCGACTGCGCGTGCTGAAGATGGAGTTCAAAGAGGAGGATCTGCTGTAGCTCCTATAAGAAGAGTAGGACGGACTACGGCTGCCCCTGTAGGGGGCGCTGCGGGAGCGACTCCGGGAGAACAGGCTGCTCCAGGATGATACGCTGCAGCGGCTGGACGAAGGGCTGCGTCTGAAGTAAGGGACGGGCCGCTTTCTGGCACTGTGGGGAAGACAACGAGATCAGATGTGTGCGACAGTGTGTGACAAAGGAAATGTGACATCGGCTTTATCATTTCCCAAAGTGGAACACCAACGGTGCCATGAATGACTTTCACTTCCTTTGAGAAAAGACAAATGGTTGACAATGTTATGTGCTTTGGATTCGACCACTGATATTATGTAGTAGACCTAAAGAACTGATTATGATATTATTTACCCCAAATGTCCTTTAGCGCTTCTTCGTAAACATACAGAAGCAGGTTAAGTCCAAGAATTATCCAAGGGCATTTATCAACTCTTATGGACATTGGTCATCCTTATGGACTTTCTATTTCTTGTGTTTGAACTGATCTGTGTTGGCGAATTCAACGGTTGTACAGTCCTCCGTTATAACTGCTGTGAGTTAGGGCTATACAAGAATGCATTGAATTGAATTGAATTGAAGAGTAGCTTTTCATCGTGTTGAGTGTGACCATTTACACCGGGAGTGAAATACGCGCTTTTAACGAACAAATAGGATGGAGTCCTATTGTTCAGGTGTCAACGTTGTGTTTACTGACTTGTTTCCCTCGGAAGAAAAACGACAAAACACATAAATTGAGTACTTTCTACACATGTCTACTGTCTATTACACTAGTAAATTTGGGAATACTAACCACTGAATGAAGCACTAATGAGTCTGTTTTAGTCTACAGTAATTATCCATCCATTTGTATGTATGTGTCAGTCATAATGAAAGGGTTGTCTATTAGATAATACGAAACACCACAATAATATTAGTGAGTGTATTCCTAAGCGACATAAATTGTATTTTCAGCTCTAATAAGCAAACCCCCTCTTTCATTCTTTCTTTGCATTAAATTTCATGGTTTCTTTTCATATAGTTTTATTTGACTGTTAATGTTTGTGATTGTGTTGTTGTTTAGTCTCACTTGTTTTTGGAAAATGTGGTCCATTTCAAAACTTTTATGATGATACAGTAATGATAATGAAGACTACACTAAGAACTGTTAATATGAATATGTTAGACAGATTAGTTGTGAGAATCTGAGTGTGAATGAGGGAAATATGGTTGGGTTTAGGGTGGGTGGGATGGATGGATAAAGCCTTTTTATTTTGGTGTGTTACCTGTTTGCTTTTTGTTTTTGTTAACAGGAAAAAAAAATAGGGTCGTCTATTAGAGAAACTATCACTCTTATGATTTAACTGAATTTAATGTAGCCCCAAGACCAGTGTTGACCACCATTGACTTCCTGCAACACTAACAATATGCAGCTGAAATATACTTCCTTGAAACATACACAAACATGTTGCGCATTTCTTTCAGATATTCAAGTCGGGTGAAAAAGCTGACAGGGAAAAATACTAGTTGTCAGTGAATGCAAAAATTGAGCACATTCCCTGGAGAATTGTGCTTCTATTGTGTGCTTATCCTTCAACACAAACTTATTCAGCCATCGCATGTGTCGGAACCATCAGACCATCCCGACTCTCACTTTCTTTGTGTTTGTTATTGCTTGTTTGCACCTCTTTTGGCCGTGTCTCTTGCCTGGGCTACACGCCATCTGCAAAGCATGGCTCATAAAAATCAAAGCAAATGACTCTGGGTTATGAAGAACTGAGGGGGAGTATAATAAAGACAGCAGGTGGCTTGTTGTATAGCTCAAGGTATAAAATGTACACTCTCTTCTCGCTGAAAATATGTGAAAAGCTCGTACCTGGTAATGCGCCGTGCTTCCAGGTGGCTTGGCGAGTCTCTTCTTCTCTTCTTCATGGGGGAGTAGGACTTGCGTCTCCGTCGTTTCTTTTGTGAACGTGACTCTTTGGACTTTCTGGAGGTTGAGGTTCGTCTTCGGTCCCGCGATCTGGAAAGCGTTAAGTGATGTGTAAAGCATTTGAATAATGAGTGAGCATGTGTGGTGGTGTTTCACCTGTCTGCACTGTGTCTGCAAGAACTTCCCCTGGAGCTGTCGCGACGCCACTGACTCGAGGAGGAGGACGGGGAGCGGGAATATGAGCTGGAGAGAAACAGAATCAGTGATAAATAAGACCAAGTAAAGTTGTTATTGTAAATCCATGTAGAACAATGTGTAAAGAGATCAAGAATATGTCATTAGTGATCTTAAAACACATAGATTAGAGTTAATATCTCACTTAGCCAAGGTTTTTCTTTACTTTACTATTGAATTTTAGAAATGTTTTCTTCATTAAGAGTGACCACCAACAGCCAGCATTCAAACAGGGGCTTTATTTATCAATGCAGGTGATAAACTGTGGTGCAAAGTACAATAGCGTGTGCAGTTTGAGAGGCTTAGTTCTAAAGGACACTTGATGTGTAAATAAATTTTCCCCAAAGTGAAAGGTGCAAAACACTAAACTCACTAAATGAGAATAATAATAAATACTTCATCAAATCAAAAGCTGCATCATTTTGACAGCTAGTTGTTTATGACTTAAATTGTGTTTATTTTTACATAAAAAACTTTACAAGTTTACCAACTTTTGGTAAACTTGGTATATTAGAATATTACATCAAGTAAAAACATTTGATGCTATTGGCTGGGAGTGGTCCTCTCTTTTTCACATGGTTTGTGAAAACTAGAAGGAAACATTTTTGAAAAATAATCAATACAAATGTAAATGACCCTTGAAAAATGTGTAATGAACGTAATGGTTTCTGACATTTGTTTCCCAAAAATTAAACTCAAGAAAAAACATGATGTTCTGGTGTACTATATATTACTGGTTTACGATATGAAAGTAATCACTTTGTTTCTACTCTGTGTAAAAAAACAAGAATCTATGAATTAAATGTGGACATCTACAAATATGTAACAAACTTCCGCAGCTCATTCCGTGTCAAAGGATCACATCCGTTACACAATTAAACAGAGCCGCTATAAAATAACTAATGTGAAAAAACGGTTATCTTCTAGCAACTACTAATGGACAGAATAGGTATTTGAATAAATGAAAAAAGTTATAGTTGCTCTGATAAACGTCCTGAGGAAATAACTTGATGATATTATTGTTGCACCTGTAAGATGAGAGCGAGATGCAGCGTGAGTGTCTGGAGCTGGTGGACGATCTGCGGCTGAGGGTCCTGCTGCGGTGGGACCTGGACCTCCTCCTGCTTCTGTGAGAGCAGCACGATCTCGCCGACTCCTCCGGTCCACAGTCCTGGGACGTCTGCTCTCTTCACACAACGCACCAAACACATGTCACCCACGATAACAGAGACATGAAAGAGTCTGTCTAGGTTTTTCAATTTGCATAATCATCTGCAAACGGAAGATAAACAGCTTCTGCTCGTGATGCTTTTCATAAATGACTGGAATTCATCACATTAATACAAACTGAATCTACTTCTAAAAGGATTACAGAAAAAATATGGCTGATAAAAGTGGTGTGTAAAGGCATAGGTCGATTGGAGCCAAAGGAAAACTAATTTGGACCTTCCTGCTTTTAGCCCAAAGCTGATGATCATAGGTGAGGGTGGGAACATAGAGTGTGTCACGGGGTGGACTTTTTGAGTACTTTTCCTGGCTTTATTTTGATGTATTGGTTCTTTTCAATGTTACTTTTTGGTTCAGTTGATTGCCTGTCCCGCCCTATGTGTTTCACTTGTGTCCCTGCCTATGCTCCTCTCCTCTTGTTGTTGGTCCATTGTGTTTTTGTCCCTGTTTCCTCTAGGTTTGAATTTGGAGTTCTGTATCTAGAATTTTGTGTTTTGTTTTTGCATTTGTGTATTAAATCAAATATTTTTGGGTCCTTCCTCCTTTTCGAAACGTGACAGATTGAGCGGTAAATCCAGAGCTTTGACTGTAGACGCTTCTCTTTCTCCAACACAACAATCTGACACAGCCTCCGAATCACTGCAGACACTGAACCAACAGGTTAGGGGCCCCTGATTTGTCTGCAATTATTTAATCCAACTTAATTCACAAAAGTTCACCATACGTACAGTATAAACAGTGCCATTCACCATGCATTTCAGCTCTTAAATTATAATTTTCTTATTGTTTACTGTCTTCTGTTTTATCTGCAAGTATCATCACCATTGTTTCTTGCATTTTCTCTCAATGGGTTTTGAGTTTTCTTTGCAGACAGTCTCAGTGTTGATCCAGGACATTTCCACACAATGGTTAAGAAAATGACCTGTATGTATTGAGTTTCCTTGTGTTTTAATTGTTTGTTTCTCTAATCTGCTCTTGTGACAATTATTGTGTTCAGATTCAGTTCCTCTGTCATTTGCGATAAAATCACATCGTGCAAGAATACCCCAGTGTGCAACAGACAGAGCAGATTAGTAGATATTATTCTTATTTTGATAAAAGACTATTCTTATTCCGTCTACAAGTATGGCCTTCATCAGAAACTTGTGCTGAGTACCTTTTTGCTCCTGGGCTGAGCACGCTGGTGGACAAGCTGTCTCCTCTGTACGTCTTGCACAGAGAGGCGTAGCTTGTGACAGAGTTCCCTGAATCGGATCCATTGTCGGTGAACTTGTGCTTGTCGGGAAAGGCGGCGGCGTGTCCCCTCTTCCGCTCCGACACGGCCGTTTTACATGATGGCGGCGACGACGTGTCATTCCCAGAGTCGTAATCGTGCGGGGCTTCTTCTCTCCGCCTTAAAATCAACCCATTCTGTTTCTCTTCCAGCTGATTTCTACCAGATTTTGAAGATAAAATCTGCAAATAGGGACACACATGTTCAAGCTAGACGTCAGGAGAGCGCTTTGATCAACATTGTCTATGCCTCGTTTTAACTTCTTTGACAGTGTTGGTACAAAAACTCACATAAACCCCTGTGTTTGCGTTCGATTTCGGGACAAAAAAAATTTTGGAAGATAAACATCATGCAAATTTGAAGCATGCGATTACCCTTACTCTACAAGATTTACAAAAGAAGACTAAACTAAATTTAAAAAATGGACTAAACTAAAAATCTAGACACTAACACTGAATGCTATCTGAATTTGTCACTTCATTATGAACAGAAAAGAAAGACTGAAGAGATTTCTACCAGCTAAATCACGTGGAGAGAAAAGAGAAGCAAGATCCCATTAAAAAGCCTCAGTTAAAGAACATTGAAAAACATCACATGAATTGTATGTGAAAAGAAAAGAAGATTGCAGTGGTCATTCTAACTACAAGGCCTCAGACCAGGACAGGCGCCTGCTGCATGTGTTTCCTCAGGACCGAGCCAACAGTTAAAGCCCTGTGTCTGCCACTTACCAATCAAGATCTCCTCCTTAAGTAGGTAAGGTGTAAGAAAAAGGGAAGAGCGGGCAACATAAGTGCATCATTAGAGTTGTGAATTGCAATAAAAGAAAAAAAAAACAGTATCCCTCTGAAGTCAAAATGGTGAGTTCATTCATCTTTAACTTTCAATAACGTCTCTGCGGATTTATATCTTGTTTTGAAAGGTTTATTGCGTTAAATGTCAAGTTAAAGACACCGGCGTCGTACACAGCCAGAGTCGATAAAGTTGTGATGTCTACGATCAATAGTGAATCCTCATTGTCCTTGTGTTTGCACAAAGAAATACAGTATTACAGACCACCTACAACAATATCATCTGGACTTTTCTGTTTCGCTTCTATTGTTGTTCCCTGAAAACTATCCTCTATTCTAAACACTTATGTTCCCAACAGCCAAAAAGCAGACAATAAAAACCATCCAACTTATACCCACCTTTGCTCTTGTAAAGGACAGATTTTTGACAAACAGTTTTTAAATGAGGCCTCTTTGTTCCAAACAGTAAATGCCTTTAGCTCTGAAGCCAGTTGTGACGGCGGCTTAATGCTTGACATAATCCAATATATGGCTTCATTTATTAAATCAGAATTAAAAGCCTGTGGTGTGTAATTAAAACATTCATCTGCACAATTAGCATAATTTAATGATCGCCGTAGAGAAACTTCATACGTTTTATGGCCTACTAAGCACGAGACACTGGGTTTGGGGACTTTGGCTTTTTAAGAAATACTTCAAGTCAAAGTCTCGCCAGAAAGAACGCTTCTCTTGGTGCGAATCACATTTGACGAAAGTTGTTTGGAGGATTAATACTCTGATCATTAGTTTGCGTTTGCTTTGCATTCCAACAACAATGAATAAAGTGCTCAAATTGGAGTTATGTGACATCACTTTGCAAAGGGCATCACAAGTGCACGCCGTCACGGCTACAGAAATCCACGACAAATGACATATGAGCAAGAAAGCAGTTATTCATGAAATTCTAAATCCTTTTATCGTTGTATTGACACTTTGAGGACAAAAAGTATGGGAAAACTGAGAAAAGCAGGTCATGGGCACCCTTCCGAAAATAATCAATATTTACATTTATCAATATAATTTTGTTATTGTTGTTACGAACGGATACAGATTGAAGATTCTCATTGAGTTTGAGAGTTTGATGGACAGAAAGTTTGATGGGGGGGAGGTTATATTTCTGTACCATACACATTATTGTCCATTAATTATCGCACAAAACTCAAAAGTTAACATTAATAATACGTTTGTGGTTATACATATTTGAATTATTCTGTGTCATGTGATCTTTGCCGAGCTCGTGCTATCTGGAACTGTAGGTTATTGACCCAATCATTTTCCATCACTGACTTGTAAACCTCAAACAAGCCCTCACCGTTTTCTGAATCTTTAAACAAATGTCGCCCAGTGCTTCAGTGGCTTTACACATTTTAAGAAACCCAACATTATCAGACAAACACAAAGAAGCAGACCCTGAAGATACGTACGCTGTGAGCCGAGAGGACGGAGTGGTACTTTGGCGCCGTCCCTGATGCTGGTGGCGATCTCCACTCATTTTTTCCCAGATCTCCGAACACCTGCTGCACCTCAGACTTCTGCAGATGGCGTCTACAGAAGAAGCAGAACAGTCCGATAAAGAGCTATGTAGAATGGGCGGTAGGGAGGTATCTGAGCGAAGAGGCTGCTGAGAATGTCATTAAAGCCTTGAGATTGTCAGTCTATCGTAATAACCCTTGGCAAATACACTCTAAAGGTATTTTCATATTGCACATTGATCTGAGTTGGGGTCCTTCGCTGTGTGACGGTGATAAGAGTTGACTGCATCGGTCTTATCAGTCATCTGCCGCACGTTAGCCGCACGTTAGCCGCACGTTAGCCTGATAAGATGAAGGGTTAGTGGGGGACAGAGGAGCCTCACCTATCCTCTGAGGAAGACTGGCACGAGGACGCCTCTGATGGAGACCTGTGATAGCGATGTTTCCTGCGGCCGTGACTCCTGGAGCTGGAGAGCACAACAAACAGTAAAGGAACTCTGGAGATGGTGATGTCACATTGCAACAGTAGTGCTGCTGTATGGCTCTACAGCAGGAAATTAGCTGCAGAACTCTTACAGTGCAGCGTTGGACACAGTGGATAGGGATGTACAGCTTGTTTGTTCTAGCACAGGGGCTGGAACAAACCCTCTCGGCCCATGAGTTCAATTTTAGTGGCCCCTGAAATGATCTTGAATGATTGTGATTACATTAACTGGAAGCATTGTATAGAAATGGGCTACTATGGCATGTTATACATCATTATATATAAGTGTACTATCAGGAAACCAACTATATCCTTGAATTTGTAAAGTAAAGTAAAGTAAAGGTGCACTTTATTAATCCCTGTAGGGCAATTCAATCCTCTGCATTTGACCCATCCTGATGCCACGAAGGCTTACGTCAGGAGTAGTGGTTGCCGTAGTAACAGTGCCCGGAAACCCATCTCCTGATGCATGCTCGGTTTGGTCAGGACTACTGCAGCTGGACGATTTAACCTAGTGAGCATGTTTTCAGTGGTAGGGGAAACCGGAGTACCCAGAGGAAACCTACGCAGGCACGGGGAGAACATGCAAACTCCACTCAGAAAGACTCTGTTCCGACCGGGATTCGAACCCAGGACCTGCTTGCTGACCAAACTTACCAGAAAATAAAATGAGTTCGATACTTCTGTTCTAGCATCTAACTCTAGCCACCACCAGAGGTTTTTCTCTTAAGAGGCTCAATTTTAACATCTTAATTTCTTCATAACTTAAAAGGGATAAGAGATAGCTAAAGAAATTACAAAGATTCATATGGTGGTGGCAATTGTGGATTTTTATATTTTTTTACTGACAGACACAAACAGAGCTCACAATGTACCACACTCGAGGGAAATATAGTAAAACAGTACAAACCATTGTGTGGCTGGGAGTTTGAATACATTTAGAAACCCTGCTTGACCCAATCGCCCGTGTTAAAAAGTATCGCATAATGCCGACTTAAGTCAACAGTGGCGCCCAGAGGGTTAACTTTGTGTAAGTTTAATGAGCGTTTTTGCAAGGTCGTGTTGCAATCTGGGGAGTCTTGCCCATGCCAAAAAAAACAGATCCAGGGTCAAAATCATTCCTGTAAACTCATCTGTTGTAAGGTCCCATTGTTACAGTGCTATTTGGCCTTCATACACATGGCCAAAGTAGTTTTTCATTGATTGAGATTTATCTTTCTCTTTCATTCTCAACAAAAGGCAGAAAAACGTCTCAGTTCACAGTGTTGAAATTGTTGGAAAAGCCCGCCTCCAGGAAGGTGATTGACAGGTGAGAAATTAAAACAGTTTCAATGCCACTATAGGGCAACCTGTCAGGAGCTGGGGTTGCTACAGCAGAGCTTCCATAGACCCATCTCAAGTTGGACGTTGTTGTTATCCCTTGAATTATGATTTATTGTGTCAAATATTTGGTGGTATACAGTGAAAAATTGGACTCTTACAATATTATCATGAAATTGTTGTCTCTCTCACAGCCAGCTTTATGAGATTGACACCATTAGAGTCAATCTATCTTTCTTGGTTCTCCTTGAGGTCTTTTTTTCACCCACTTTTTATTTTCATTGTCACGGTTTTTCTTTTTATATTTTATTAAAACTATTGTGTCTCTTGTTCCTCTTGTTCATTTTCTTCAACTATTGCAAACACCAAAATAAAAAAAAAACATTTATTAAGACTGGCCTATTTACTGTAAAGGTGCACTTTATTAATCCCCGTAGGGCAATTCAATCCTCTGCATTTGACCCATTCTGATGCCGCTAAGGCTTACGTCAGGAGCAGTGGTCGCCGTAGTAACAGCGCTCGAGAACCCATCTCCAGATGTTGATGCTCGGCTTGGTCAGGACTACCAGAGCTGGAGGATTTAACTTGGTGAGCATGTTTTTAGTGGTGGGGGAAACCACCACTAAAGTGCCCAGAGTAACCTACGCAGGCACAGGAAGAACACTCAGAAAGACCGGGATTCAAACCCAGGACCTTCTTGCTGAGAGGAGAGAGTGCTATCCACTCAGCCACCGTGCTGTTCCTACAATCCATTGTTCAGGTTTAACTGTATGCTTTTAACAAGTTTTATCACAATTACAAAATAAATTTTATCATAATTTTCTTAGTTACAAGCTAGATGGAGTATTCCGGACAAACTCATAATAATAAATCTGAACGTCCTTTTTTCTCACTAACAGACCCTCAAACACATCTGCATGGCTCTTCTTTAATGATGCGTTCCAGGGATATGTGAGGCGTTTGTGCACAAGCGTCTGCAGTCTGAAGTGGAGCAGTGATAAAGAGAACAAAAGAGGACAGAGCCGTTCAGAGCTTTGTGCTTAAAGAGCTGCTCCGCATGCACACACAACACGCTGCTCGCCCAAAGTCCAATTATGAAATGATGCAAGATCACAGCATGAAATTGGTTTCTCTTAGCCTCTGAGCCTCACTCTCTCCTCTCTTTGTAAGTCGCTTTACACTCGGCACAAAAGGCATGTTTCCGCTCACTTGGGAGGCTGTACAGCACGAGACACGGCAGATCAGAGGGCCAGGGGACGACTTGTAGGATTTGAAGAGACATGGTTCTGATGCAGGTGGCGCACACACACACACAAACACATTTTTTGGATTTATTGTGGTTTTTGGGGACATTAAATAAACAAAGAACTCGGATCACACTAAATAACCGAGTCCAATTCGGATTTGCCAGAAAAATACTATCAGTCTATTTGCAGTTTCTTTCAGTATTGAGGTTTAAACTGCTTATGAAATTAGCTATCATATAATATAATCACAGTTTTGACTTTGTGAGTTTGACTTTGAAACAATTATATACATGGTTCACGAGTTATTTTCTCAGACATTTCATCAGGACCATTTTGCCTTCTTCTAACTATGTTTATATTATTATTTGTACTTGATTTTAATGGTTGGACGAACCAGAGAGAACACGCAAACTCAACTCAGAAAGACCCTGTTCCATCCAGGATTCGAACCCAGGGACCTTCAGTGAGACTGCAAACCACTCTGCTGCTGTACTTTCCCTTTGATTTAGTGATACACAACAATGATACTGCATGTCCATTGTCAAAGGATTTCAAAACTTCAAATACAATGTTGATCATTATTATCGTAGCTATATTTTTTATTAAATGAACTTAAACCTCTACCTCTGTTTAAACCTTTTCCTCTCTCATAGTAAACTTCTAGCAAGTTCAGATTTCAACTAAACAAGATTTAGCAGTGAGTGACCCATTGATGTCCTGAAGATTATAACCATGGACTGAATGAATAATGACACTCATTCATAGTTAATTATTATTATTATTATTATTACTACTACTTATCATCATTATTATTACTACTACTTATCTACTTGCCAAATCAACCCAATCACACTACACCTACTTCAAGTCATATCATTGATGAAGGATTGGACATGGTTGATATTTGGTCCCCATATGAGGTAGACAGGTACCTATCAGGGCTGTTCTAGTCCCCACAATGTACTAAATGCACACACACATGCACACTGACCTTTTCTTTTGTCGCTGCTCGTTCTTCCCCTTATGTCTGAGACTGGAAGAGCTGAGCGGATCACAGAGAAGACAGCCATGACAGAAAGAGTATTAGGCCCAGACTGCTAAAAAGGTGCAGTCTTTTCACAATGCAAATCTGGGGTTAGCAGTAACAGCAGGTGCGAATGTTGCAGCCAGAGTTAAGCCTGGATTAAAATGTTTTTGCAGCAACAATAATATTCAAATGTGAAAGGAGATTATGATGATGGACGTACCTGTGTTTGGACTTTTTGGATGTGTACCTATGGGGTGAGAAAAGGGGAAGGTTTGAGTCAGGACATTTGCATATAGGAGTGATACTATATTCAGCTTGGTCCAGTTCATTGTAGAGAGACATTTAAGATGGGAGTTCAGTGTTTCAGTAACTAAGGAGTCATTAGTCAAATTTAGGGATGTTTTGTTAGGGTTATATTGTTAACTAAAGAGACAGAGAGAGAGAGAGAGAGAGAGAGAGAGAGAGAGAGAGAGAGAGAGAGAGAAAGGGAGAGATAAAGAGCGAGAGAGAGAGAGGGAGAGAGAGAAAGAAACAGCAATAGAGAAAGAGGCAGAGAGAAAAAGAGACAGAGAGACAGAGAGCGAGAGAGAGGGAGAGAAAGAGAGAGAGAGAAAGAAACATAGAGAGACAGAGAGAGAGAGACATTTAAATAGTAACTGGGCCATACCCCACATTAATATGTTTCTACCTGTGGCGTTTGTTTTTCTTGGAGTTCTTCTTCTTCTTCTTTTTCTTCTTTCTCACTGGGGACAGGCTGTAAGAAGGAGACCTGCAGGACAACAAGCAGATGTATTATTGTTTCATTATTGCCCGTAGCCACAGACCGTAGAAAGGACTGAGTGGCATCTACCTGAGTGCGGATGTCACCTATTGTGTTTGCGTTTTCCTAGGATAAAGTCAATTAGAGGCGGCTCGAACTGGCTCCATGGGAGAGAATTTGGAGCCAAATTCTCAGATAGCAGCCACTCAGCAACCAAACAGCCAATCAATCGTTTGTTCTTGCTCATGCTACTTTGCGAGCCGAAGCCAACTTTGTGGATATAAACTCCAGATTGCTTAATTATTAGATTTCAGAGCTGGATTTATAAAAACAACATACATAAAAAACAAAACACCATGATCACACAAAACCTTAATGGAGCAGTATGTAAAAATCTGGCCAAAAGTGTTACTGCAACCTCTCGCACTCTCCCTGACTCCGGTTGCCAAATATGCAGACCAATCCAGCCGGGAAGAGTTTTGTCAACAACAAATCTATAACTAACACCGTTTTCACAAAGATATAAGTCCTGGTTTTATTCCTTGTTTTGTCGTTAATTATTTGAGAATCATAACGAGACCTTTTTTATTTCTTTGGCCACATTGTACTTTACCAGTGAGAATAGCTCGACGCGGTAAGTTCTGGCAACCCGGATAACAGACTTTCTGAAAACAATAACATCTAGGGCTGTAAAACTAATTTATATATCTCGGCTGAACTACTGTTATCAGTTTAAGAAATATTTGAAAAGAGCATGTTTTATTAATTCATTTTGACAGATTAGGGCCATTTAATGATGACATAAAAATCATGCATATTGCTACTTGAAACCACTGATTTTCATTCCAAAAAGGCGAGTGTGATAACTTTTCAATGTAAGAGAATAGAGCCAAAGCTATTAACCAAATATAACCCAGTACACTTCCATAATCACCTTCATAGAGCTATCACGTTAGCATTGTCCTGTCCTTTCCAATTTACAGTCTGAGTTTGAATCCTAATTTTATGTTCAAATCCCACCTCTTCCTTTTCCGCTTGCGTTGGGACTTCCTCCTCTTCTTTTTCTTCCCCTTCGGACGAGGAGAGAGGTCTTCATCATAAGACGGACTGTTGGGGTTAGACAATCAAAGTCAATTTAGTTTAGCTCCATTTACAAAGCAGAGAAAAGTGTGTGGAGATGGAGTCGCTTATCGGAGAGACTTATTTTTCCAAACAGAAAAACCCCCTGAAGTGAGCTTAATTTGTCCTTTTTTATCGCTGAAACTTTGCAGCACAAACAGATCATAGATAACCGCTGACAGCATGTTTGGGATTATTTATGATTCAACTGCAGACAAACTCAAAACACATTTACCTTAAAAGCGATAAACCCGGGGGTGGAGGAATTGACTTATTTTGATACAAAGTGGACCCATCTAAACACATTCATTTAATGTCTATTTTTGAGCAAATACAGTGGAGCAATTTGCATCTTTTCTCCCGCTTTTCACCATGGAGATACTATTGCTTTGCTTGCACTGCATTTTAATATGTCATTGAACCTGTGCAGTTTGTTATGGGTGTTTTCCAGCTAAAAATACTGTTTTTTTTACTGTGGTTTGACTCACCTCTCTACAGATATGACCAGTTACTATCGCCTGGTTAGTTGCTGAATTACACAAGTGGAGTAGATGTATAAATTCAATGCTACCGTGGAGCAACCCGCAGGCCGAAACACAACATTTAGACCTATAAACAAATGGCAAACCTTAAAGATGGAGTCAATGATTTTCTTCCAGACAAATTTTTTTAAATATTGTGGGAAAACGTCCCTAAACCCTAAAAGTATTGACTAATCACGTGTTTTCAAATAGTAATGGAATTGACCAGATGCCTATAGTCTGCAAAAGTTAATAAAAAATATTTTGGAGTGGACCGATAAAAACAAACCAATGGGATGCGTTTACCCCCTTCACCCTCTTCCTGTCTCTCACGAGAGCACGCGCTTGAGTTATCGGATTTTCTAAAACCTAAAAGGGCTGAACAGAAAATGCCAATTTCATGTTTGCCACCCACTCTCCCTGTTGTGACAAAGAAAATAAAAAGCTGGATGTTTGGTTTGGTGGAGAGGCGAGGGGAGGGGGGAGTGGTTTCGAGTTGATGCTGCGGCTAAGCTAACAAAATCGCTTACTGCACCTGAACCAGAAAAGTGTTTTTTCTTTAGTTCAAAGTATCGGATTTATGCTCGTTTTCCGGGGAAGCATAATGCACTATGTTACAAAGACGGTGCTAGAGAGAGAGTATTTAGCATCACACAGTCATCACTCTAAAATGTTAAGCTCATAGACAACCCCTGCAGTAAAGTGACTGGGGTAAAATGTGAGTCATCAGACAGCAGCACAGACGCATCCTAATGCTCTCACTCAGTCCATGATCTAGGGATTAGAATCGTGCAAATGTCCCAGAAGACAGGATCCAATCACAAATCATCAGCGGCTCCCTCAGAGACGCAGCAGAAGGTGGAGAGCCGAGCATCTGAGTTCAATCCTGAGTTCAGGGATGACGTAATACAGTCATTATGTTAATCGGAAAAATCATCGGGATTCTTTTTTTGCCATAGTAACAGGAAACAAGAAGTCACAAACTGGGAAATTGCATTGGGTCTTGGTGCAAATGAGTTATAAAGTAAAAGCAGAATAAGGCATGCATAAAGAAATAAAAAGTCGACATAACATTTAAAATTACTACTATATGGAAGTGTGCTAAGTATGTAGACATTTAGCAGTGACAGTAAACATGGCTCACGGTTACATTTAATAAACCATCAGAGACTCCAGAGTGGCTGAAACGCTGGTCTTCCACATATTTCATTTTTATTTGAACAAAAAAAGGCCATAACTGTCTCTACAAACTACATAAATACCTGTTATTAGAAATGCTGATTTAAAAAAAGAGAATGAGAAAATTGTTAACCACTAAATTTCTCTCATAGACCGATTATCAGTCACTCAAGGCTCTACTGTTCATGCTGTTTGCAGGTAGTAAACCAGCACCATGTCCTGCTGTGCTGTTGGCTAAAAGCAATAAAACATGTCCGGAACTTTTATCCATGCACCCATCACACATGGACCATTTACAGTAAACATATCCAATTCAGAAATTTTCATTTTGCATTATAACACAGTTGATTTCTCTGTTATAAACTGTTGTATAGTGCACTGACAACCTCGCTAGCTATTCCGATTGCTAAATAATGGCTGGTAATCAAG